TATATATATAGATCATTAATATAATAATAAGAGACTCAGTTATGTGTGTGAAGCGATCGACAGTACTTGCACTATTAAAATGCATTATTAATTTGCATTGATCACGTAATTTAATCCATATTTTTCAAATGGTAATACGATATAATGCGACAATTTGTTTTGCTTAATAATATTTTGCTGTGCCTTATTTTTTTTAAATCAGCTCGAATTTCGCAAGCGTGTTTCATTACGATATAAATGAAAGAATCAAAGAGGAAAACAACCATTATGCTAATTGCTAATGGGAATAAATTAATATACGACGTTGAAGTATGAAAATGAAATAAGAAACCATTTTTTTATCAACTCAATTCAAGTAATTATCTGAATTATCTCGTTCTGGGTATGTTCTTGTAATATCGTGTTTTATCTATTATTTGAAATTTTTTTCATTAGTGGAATGAAATGATAAACATGAAAAAAGTATATATGACGAGCGAAACATTGTTAAGACTCATATTACTCGTATTACTTTATCGTTTATCTTACAAGTAATACGTCAAGCCTCACCCAGGTATACTTTTTCTTTTTACGTTTATTATTCCATTCCATTAGAGATGAAATTGCAAAATAATAGATAAAAACGAAAATACAATATTATGAAAATATATTATAAACAAATTAATTCAAAAAATTGTTTGAATTGAAAAAAACACATTTAACTCTATTTTTCAACATATTTGAACAACAAACATAAATTCTCTATTAATATTCGATTATTAATAATTAGCCTAATAATATGCCTTCTTCTTTGACATTTTTTTTACGCATACCGCTTTGAATCATAAATACGTTTACGAAATCTGAGCTGATTTAAAAAGCTATAATAAACTAAACAACATACATTAAGCAAAATTAAAGCGTCGCATCGTATCGTATTATTATCGTATCGTACTATTTGAAAAATATGACTTAAATCACACAACTTAAATTATATTATAAATAAATTTTTGTCGAAACGCTCGTACGCTTATTAACATACTTTAAAATGTATTCATGAGCAACAACGATATCCAGGCAGAGCCATGAGAAAGATAAATAAAAGTAGGTTAAGCGAGCATCGCGTAAAAAAGTGGCTGGTAAGTCGCGTAAATCATCAGTCATTAATAATAATAATAATCCAAATGCAAATATGTAACTTCGTAACTTCTGCTTCGCGTAGCACTTCGCGATAGACCCCGGCGATAACCCGGGGAAGTAAACGTATGCATTGCAAAGTTATGCATTACAATATAAGATAATTGACGTCGGCGCCCGCGAAAGAAAGAGATCGAGGAGAAGAAACGAGCCCGGCTGTCGCCGACAGTGGAAAATTTCACGAAGGATACGCGATGCGACTATCCTCGACTCGTAACGCGAGATAGTCGATCTCGCTGAGAGAAAGAGAGAAAAAGAAAGAAAAGACGAGGGCTTCCTTGAAAGGTTGGTAAATCATCGACTATCAGTTAATTCCGCAAAGCTTTCTCGGCAAACACATCTGTCATTATATAATCAGTGTTTACGTACTCTCGATAAAAGCATCTGCCGGAAAATATATATTTATAACGAAAGTTTCGCCAACTTCGAGAATTCCGACGGACTCCGCAAGTCTGGATTCCAGAAGAAACTCCACGGAGAAAAGAGCGAGTCAATGCTAATTTTTTTCCTCGCGGTTCGAGAACGGTTTTTTGATCTCCGGAGATGAAGTGACCTTCGCGGGTTAAACGATATTTCTCGGAAAATATACTTATCAGTGGGCGTTCTATTGAATTACGGATCGATGTTTACGCATCAAATTAATTAGCAGCTGCGGAAAGCGTGTGCTGATTATAGAACTCGTTTAAGCCGTGCAATGAAACCTTTCCATCGCTCCCGGTCGATCCCAATTCGCGCGCAATACTATTATCCGAGTTAATCAAATTAATGCGCGAATAAACGGTAGTTATTATGAATAACTTGCGGCGAATCGGAAATAGTAACGACGTACGAGCGTATTGATCGGGGCGCGTTCCTATTCCGCACCGGCCCCGAGAAAAGTCCACCGACCTGAATTCATTTCATTTTTAAATATCACGCGAGATATCTGCAACCGGCACACAACTCCGACGTACAATTTTAACGTACTGGACTGAGAGTGAGCTAAGAAATTGAAAACGCAAATAGGAAGCGTGAATTACATTTCGTCGACACTGCGTCTACTTCAATTAAGAGAAAAAAATAAAAATTAATATCGAACTCTAATTTACAAAAAGTGAATCAGCTAGTGAATCGTGTAATTTCTTTAGTCTTTATGATCACGCTGTCGGATTATTATTGCATGACAGATACTTTAATTACATGTACATTTTGCACGTGAAACGAAATTCATACATTTGCAATTGTAAAGGCCCTGGGTTTCTAGATTAACGAAATAATTTTACATTCATTCCCCTAATTCCCCATTCCTACGACGAACCCACGCGATGTCGCATCCTGTCGTAGTGATTACTCGCGGCAGCTACAACCGTCGCAACTGAATATAGTCCCTGGTCAAGGACGCTCTCTCCCCAAGGCTAAGGGCCTGTTTATTCGCGAAACGCGACGCATTTCGAGACTACGGGAAAAATCGTGTGAGGCGCGAAATATAGAGCGCTGTAATTTAACACAGCTGCGAGAAGATTTTTTTTTTTTTATCACGTCGCGACTTTTCAATTCAATCGGATAATCGGATAGAATGCGAATAGTAAAGTGTGCGATGTGTCTTGTATCGCTGGCGAAATGTCTCCGGACACACGGTGCCGGTATCGGTTAAGACGTCTACGTGTCTTACGCCGCGTGCGGAACACGCGCAGGAAGGATTATTCGCGGAGAGAGAAAGGCAGAACGGTCGGGAACGTGAGGAACGTGTGGGACGAGGAGGACGCCAAGCAAGTGCAATGGAGCCCGAGTGTAGGTGTTAGTGATATCCGTGATATGATACATGCCAGATGTGGGAGCTGAATGGGCGCGCTCGAGAATGAGATTTGATAAACGGACGTGGGTGTCCGTGCACCTTGATGAACTTCCCGCTGGCGGATGTAAGGCGAGAGGCATGCTCCGTTCGAGATCACTGGACAACCGATTAAAAACGACAATTTGTTATCAAAAGTTTTCAAAAAGCAATAACAAATTTCTTATCGAGTTTTCTTCTCTGAGCGAAAAATTTTTTCACTTTTACATTCCGATTCTTTTGCTGGCGCGCCTGATTATTATTCAGCCTGATTATTATTATTTCTTGAAACGTCACATTAGTCGGAGTTGAAACAACATGAATTAAACTATTAAACTAATAATTCATTTAAAATTACCAATGCTTATTAGCATCTTATAAATCTCTTATAAAAAATTATTGCAAAAGCTATTGCAATAATAGTAATTAAGATGAAATATCTACGTCATTTTTAATTTTATTCGACAAGATCAATTTTAATTTCAAATATTAATTCAATCTTAAAAACTAAATTATTATTCGTAACAAGCAATATAATTGAAAAAAGCAATTTCCACGTTAATATTCTTCATACAGTACTAGCAAAACTAGTTAATTAATTACATTCAATTCCACGAACTTTTAACAAGAAATTTATTTATCGTAGCTTCTTGTACGCGTACAAATCTTTGTACGCGTTTAAATCTTAGACAAATTGTATATTTTTAAACAAGTTCAATTATAAATGATTCACATAATAACGCCCAATCAATTGATATTTAATTGACCAATGATAAAAAAAACATTTGTAACAAATTTGTTTTTGACACAACCGTTTTGAATAATAATATAATTAAATTTATAATTCAAAGAAGAAACATTATTCAGAGAAGCTTTTGTATAACCAATTGTCAAACTATAAAGACGCATGTGTCATCCTTCTGCTTTTTCCTTATTCATCTTGTACGTATATGTATGCATTTATTTTTGCAGACGCAGATTTCCCGCGAATAACTCAGACAATGACATACCACTATAGGCGCCAGTCCTCCTGTGGAAATCTCCATTCGTGGAGTCATTGGCGTAAGCAATTCTATGCACATTACGATGCAGTACGTGTATCGATATATCTTTTCTTTTCTTATTCTTCTTCTTTTGTAAATTGTACAAAAAACAAAATCTAGAAGAGAAAAAAATATAGAAAAATTATTATGCGTGTGTATATGTCGCGCGCGCGCGCGCGCGCGCGCGCGTGTGTGTGTGTGTGTGTGTGTGTGTGTGTGTGTGTTGGGGGGGGGGGGGGGCAATGCAATTAAAAATTTCCATTTTTATTTTATATGTATATACACATTAACTTCAATTCTTAAGACTGAATCTTGAAAGTTAATGCAAAAAGCATAATTCTGAGGCTCCCCTTCCTTTTTTTTTTTAAAAAAAAAGTTTATATTAATTCAACATTAAATTGCAAGTTTTTAATTCTCGGCATCGGCTATCTTGTCGCTGATGAAATTAATTGTTAAATGAACTCGTTGTGTTTACTTAAGAAATTCCAACATTTCAAAAATTCCGTCGCAACGTGACTTTGCTCGAGCAGATTATCGAATACGCGCCGATATAAGATATTGTCCCGCAATATGATGTGCGCACAAAGCGCATCATATTCATGCGTATCGATATCACAATAGTCACACGATATCTCGCAACGCGTTGCTAGCGAATTAACGCTTGCTAACGATTCCCGGCAGCTCGGCCGCGCGAGAAGGCAATCCGAATCAGCGATACAGTGGCATCATCATTGATAATCGAGCGATCTCGATTATCGATGTTATCGATGATATCTCAGACGTTTCGGTCGCGTCGCGCCACGTGCTTCATCGCCAATAATGCAAAGTTACGACTCTGATCGCGATAATTGGATGCGTTCGCGAATTGTGTCGCGAGGAATGCGTCGCCCATGACGATAAGAGATTATCGTCGCTCGTGTCGCAATACGAAAGCGAATTTACCTGGCATTACGACGTTGACTAACGTGTGCGTATTCGCACACTTGTGACGTCGCCGAATTACGCATTCTCCTTTTTTTAATGTAATCCCGTTTACGCAACGTCTTTCTGTTATCTCGAAATAGAAACAAGTGACTTTAATCAGACTTTAATAAAGAATAATCACCGATTAAAAATAAGCACGATTTATACAGGGTGTCGTAAAATTATCGAATATCTTTTTTTAACCGTAGTTTCTACAGCTTCCATTCGATAATTATTCATATCGAAATATATCAAATTCAAATATATCAAATATATCAAATTTATTCGATATTTATTCCATATCGAATATTATACATTTTTCAGTTTTGAAATTCGATTAATTTAAAATGAAATTAATTAACGCAGTAATTATATTATCTATTTCTGTTATGTTAATGCGCTTAATACGTCAAAAGCTCGTTTATTTTCAATTATTAATTATTAAAATATAATAAAATTAAAATAATTATAGTAATTTTGAGGAAATTGACCTCAAAAATCGATCAAGTAATCTATAATAAAAATAATATCTAATCATTCATAAAAATCTTGTATATCGTGATAAAGTCCGATCATTTTATAACTGCGATGTTATTTAGAAGAATAATGTTTTGATGGAATTGATAAGAAAATCTTTTGTACCAATAAATCAATTGATAATATAAAATTGATTACAGATTAAGTGATTATAACACAAGCTACATTGATTGTATTACTATAAGATATTTATCTCTTTTGATATATATTTTATATTTATTTTCATTAATAGAAATATGTTGAAATATATTTAATATTTTTAGATATTAGAATTAAAGAATTTTATACTATAAACATTATTAAAAATTGAAAATTAATCCAATATTTTATATAATATTAATATTTTCATTTTCTCTTATACTTTTGAAAAATGTTAACTTCATATAAAAGATCTTTAAATGATGTATGAAAGCAAAAAAAAAATAGTCTCTTGTTTTCTTTAACATGAAACTTCCTTTTCACATAGCAGAGCTGCATCCAATTTTTTCAGTCCGATAAATATTGCAAAGCAAGTTCAAAGCACTATTTTTAGACTAGAAATTACAGTCCAGATAAACATTTACTACTTGTACGGTGAATAATGTCACATATGTCGCACATATGTGTAAGCATTATTTAAAAGGTATATTTTACGACAGTCGAAGCAAATGCCGCAATAGTTTCTAGTGGCAATAAATTTGTCGGTAACTACCGCTTGCGTAAAATCTCGCGTGCTGCAATACTGAAATTTGAGTTCAGCTACGTGGTGTGAATTTATTATTAAGAATCACGCAAGCGAAACTATTAATAAGATAATGTAATGCACGAGTAAGACAAATCTCGATCACGAGATAAATGGGAGGCGAATGCATAATGCATTATTTTCACAAATTAATTAATTTAACTAACATATTATCTAACAACGAAATAGTTCATCGTTTTAATTTCATCTACATTCTTAAATCGTACGTAAATAAAGAAAAAATTTATATCTTCGTTAACAATGATCGTCTGGTTGTAGTTCCACATGTTTGAAAGATAAAAATTATTCATTTTAAAAGAAAAGAAGGAAGGATCGATTTTATACCGATTATTTCATTCCTTATTACAAGATGCATATGACTAATCGTAAGATGAGTTTTCACATTCTTTCTTTATTATTGTCATTTCCGGATAGTACAAAAAAATTTTACTTTAACATCATCGATACAATGATTCACGATACTTGAATGCATCGCAGATGAATCAGTTACAGATGTTACTACTGATATCAAAAATGTTTTTTCCCACTTGTGCCTCATTATCATCATATATTACATATTTAATGCAAGTCATGCTTGCTATTCTTCGTATCTTCATTTTAAAAAATGAGTTCGAAATTAGAGTGATTTATTACATTCTTAAATTTATTGCACGTGATATGCAGAAACAAGTTGTTCATCAGATTACTTATTTCTCTTTTTCTTTTTTTTCAAAAAATGTTGCATAATAAAGATATATAAATATGATAAATGATAATTCTAAAAAGCTTCTTTTATTTCATACGTCTTAAAATTTTGCCATAATACAAATACAAAATTTTAATTGAAAATTTTGAAATGTGTCGCATTAATATCCTAATTTGTATTAATGTCAAGCGTCATTTCATTTTCAATAATTCAATATTCATAAGCCTTTATTTTCAATATTCATAAAATCATACTTTATACCTAGTTATAATAATATATAATATAAGAATAAGGATAAGGATACAAGAGATGAAATAGTCTTCGGAATATAAAAAAATGGAGGAATGTAAGCAGTTTAAAACTCATTTATTGAACATGACATAAAAATCACGATACATAATAATGATAAACCGAGGTGTATTGTAAGCTTTAAAAACTTTAGATATATTATTCATTTATAATCTTCCAGTGTAATATGTCGTGCGCTCGCATTGTGTATGTGTATGTGTGTTTGTGTGTGTGTGTGTGTGTGTGTGTGTGTGTGTGTGTGTGTGTGAGTCCCTATCAACTCTAACAGATGATTACTTTACACATGTATGTATAATCATTACGCATGGAATGTGCATCCATCTTTTCGCTTTCGCTCGCATCTCTCTTCGATTATAAAATTCACGGATAATTAGCAATCTCGACGACGATACGGCAACCTGTCTTCATTTGAATTTCGATGTTAACGTTATCAAATCTTCTTAAAAAAAAAAGGCAAATTGTCAAACTAAAAGTGTACATCTCGCGTTGGATAAACAGCATAATCATGGACATAGGTGTTCTACGAAAGAGTAACCTTATCGAAAAAACATTAATAATAAAGCCGATAATAATAAGGTTTCAATCAATAAGCAGTAAAGAATAGAGTTATTATTGATTTCCGATTTACGCACGAACGCACCTATACACGTGCAGGAGTCACTGCACGTATTCGCCTCTTAATCCTGTGTTCCACAAGCAGCTTGCGTGTATTAAAGCTTATCATAAGGATTTTCTCCGGCATTTTTATGTGCCTGAGGGAAAATGCCGGAGAGTCGTGGTTTCGCAAATATTAATTCGTTCGGAAAGCCTCCTTGTTTATACTGTTTATCCCATTTCACGATCATCCCGCCGTCGTCTACACGCTGCAGAGAAAAGCTTTTTCCAGTTTATGTCAAGAATTCGTAATCGATCACTCGTGAATCGGTGTATCGTCGTCAGCGCTAAACCCTTACGGGAAAAAGAAAAGCGAACGGGTTCCCTCGACAACGAAAGCCGCTATCCGTCAAAAAATAAATATATCAATGTAGATTTGAGTGCATGAGTGAAGGGGAGAACAGATGAGACGATGCAATTCGACGAGTGCACCGTCGTGAATGGAGGGTCCGATTGGTACCCGTCGCTCTACGCTACTTTTTTTTTTTGTTGCTTTATTATAATCGTGGGCTTTTGGCAGTGATATTCAATCGTCGTGACTGAGGAGAAAGTGAACTTGAGCGATCGACGACGTTGGGCTTCGTCGAAATAACAAGTATACTACTTTTGCAAAAAAACAAATTTTTTCTCTCGTAACACAAACTAATTCTCGTTGAAAATATCTCGGAAACGAATAATAAACCGACAAGTAAATTAAATATTAAATTTTATTGCTTGTCCTTGAAAATTAATAATTCTGCTTTGTGCTCGCAAGGCAGGAATGTTCCCAAGAATATATATTTTCCATATATGCGGTATACCGCAGTTTTAATATTAAGTGGACTTAAGTGAACTAAAAGAGAAAAGAAAAAAAGAATGAAGAAACGTTTCTCGCTTCGTGAACTTGCAAAAGTCTTGGCACCTCTCCTCAAACACGCGCTAAAAATCCGCTCAAAATGTCCCGAGTGAGGTATAACAAATAACCATAAAACAGTAATAGTAATACAAAAAATAGTCAAGTCGTCGCATAATAAATAATATATATATATATATATATACATATTATACATATGTATGCATGCATATATATATTATTTACTGTATATACATATGTATACATATATCTCTGCAGTTTTGCAATCGCGTTGCGACCGTAGAATGAAAGTGGATCGAGAGACCGCAGCGGTTAAACGGAAATATGTCTCTTCCGATAGGTAAATACTTGAATCAAAGTAAGGATCATTTAAATTCCATGCATATATCGCCAAAGAGCAAAAGAGAAGAAAAATCCCAATCCACGTTTACTCCGCGGTCCGAGGCCGCCGTAATAAATAGATCGTATTTTATATCTCAATCTCTAAACTCTAATAACACCATTTTCTAATCAGTACGAATCAACTGGTGAAACCTTGGATACGCGCGCACAAAATTGGACCGTAATCTTTAATTTGCACCAATGGCAGTACCGATTTATGAAAGAAGCAAGAGTTAAGAATACAAGTGACAAATAAAAATGTATGAGAAATATAGTTGAAACTAACTGTCAAGCTTCAGATGACAAATTCAGATGCTCAAAAAAATTGTAGCTTCCACGTTATTTATTAATAAAAATTCATATAATATTAAAAAAAGATTTTCTTGAAAGAAAAACATTATTGTAGAAATATATGGATATTTGCAATGTATATTACGTGCGAATTAGATTTAACACGATCCCGTTGAACATCGCGTATCTTAAAGTTTCGCCAAGCACCACGGCGCATCGCCCTATATTTATACTTTTTGTCTCTGTGTGTTTTTTTTTGTTTCACTAAAGCAGTCTTACATAAAGCGGCAACTTTTGGAAATTATTCGGTACGCGCCTCCACAAAATGATTCCCGAATCTGCTTTACCACGCTAATGGATGTTCGCATACAATCCTCCCTCTTTTTCTCTTTCTTCCTGTCTCCCTCTCCCCTTTTTCTTCATCTCCATCCCCCTGTCGTCTGCACTCGAAGAGAGAAATGCAGGTTGAGCTACGCAAATTTTCAAAATTTTCCGCGTGACGTCTACCGACTAAGCTTTCTCTTAAATCCGACATAAATCCGAAAGCGCATATCGACATTAATCTATTCTTTCATATATTATAATGAATTTTAAAAAAAGACCAACAAATCGAATTAGTCGGCTTCCATGCCGAGCGGCGAGCAGTACTTCCAAAATCTATTCAATTTTGATAGAAAATAAATAATTTTTCTTTCCTCGAGATTTACAAAACGCAATCGATGAACGCTTTCGGAGTTTCAGACTCTTAATATTATATACACGTTAAGACGGACATAAACGACTTCAAATGCTCGTGCGCCAGAATTCCTTCGTCTTCCTCGAAAAGGTCCGAAAGCATCTTTCTTTCTTTAAAAAAAAAAAATTATCGGAGATCTCCTCCGTTTATCAGAGCACCGTCGTGTTGTTTTGCCCAATCAAGTATGGAGAACTCGTTTGGTTTTTTTTTTTTTAAAGAGTCTGCGATCGAGAACCGAAGCGTTCGAATCTCACCCTAACTACATCTTCCCTCTAATCCGTTAATCGTTGCAGAGTAATTCTATCTTATAGCTTACGGTATCACAGAGTTACACGCGGCATCGCTTAATTGCTCCCAGTTCGTAATCGCCGATACGCAACCGATAGAAAAAAAGCATGCAAATTGTGTCCATCGCGGGGAAAAATCAGAACGTCTGTAAACGGATGCGAAGAACATCGAGTGCTTTCTGAAAAAGTTGTAATTAAATTGAAATTCAGATTCGCTCACGCTTGATATACCTCTCCCCAAAGTTTTATTTGATATTACGTAGTTTTATTGAATTTTGAAGCAAAGAAATTTGTTATCATTAATATGGAAACTGAATAATTTAATTTTAATTTATTCCATGAATGTATTTCATGATATTATTTCTATCTAATCGTAATAAAGGAAATATCCATTAATTAATATCAGTTAATTAAATCTTCTCCTCCTGATATAACAACGAACTTTATGATTAGGAAGGATTGTTTATATTATTTCTAAAAATAATATAAAAATCGCAAAATATATATGAATGAAAAATAGGATAATTTAAACGAAAGATCTTGCATCAATTTCATTAATTAGAACGTGGAAAAAAAACACAACCTTTTATTAAGATCGTATAATTTTTTGAAACAAAAAAGATATCCCGAGAGAAATCTCTTATGTTTCTTTCCTCACTACACTCGACATCCTTTGCACATGCGATCTGCAAGGGCAACACGTTCCCCTCCCGCACCCCCTTCTCATCGACCGACTCGACTTGTAACGAAATAATACACTATATAGATATATATATTTTATATACTACATGTGAAAAAATTAACAAGCGCCCTGTAGCGACGACGCGAAATAACAAATACGATTAACTCGAGAAAAACATCTACATATCTTCGATGACGTGCGACAAAATGGCGATTCGTTTAAGAAAATATCTTCGCCTGGCCCGCGCGCTATCTGAGAAAACCGGAAATCTACGGAACGATAACGCCCGCGAATCGCGCGCGTTGCGTCTTTTCGCGCACAATGCAACACGCGTACACCACGGAATGCATGGTTAATGGTACCGGATGCATCTGTCATGCTCCCCCCATAGGCCGCCGCCGCGTACTCCAGCGCTATCGTATCGTACGCCATATATAACGCGGAGGAAACAGCAATATCGTTCGATAAGCTGATATGCGTCAATAATTATTCGATAGGTTTCTAACTTTCTTGAAGAACTGTCGCGCCGGAAATTGGATGCTCGAAACATCGTTTGGAGAAAATTGAAATATTGTCGCGATCGAGCGAGTACGATCTTTTTGAAATCTCTTCCGTACGATGGTACCCGTAAGAGATAGTACCGAAGTACTAGTTTTCTATTCATTCATCAAATAAACATTATTTGACGCATCGCTATAGACGGCGAAAGATACTCTCCGTGTTATTCCGCCGTGATTTTACTCGGTGAATTGATTTATTCTGTCCTCTGATATGGAAGGGGAGCGCGAAAAACGAATACGCAAGTGTGATACGAGTGATAATTAAATATATTGCGACGTCGAAACAGCGCGGGAAATTACACACGTGAAAACAAATCGGTTTTTCTTAGGCTCTGCACGCTCGGTGATTCGACCCGAAAGTCCGCACGCACTTCCTGAATTAGATGGTACATAACGCACAGTGTCCTTCCTCTGCACGACGGAATCCGATCCCGCAAAGGCGGGAAGAAACTGCCATTGCTGCTTCCGGCACGCAAACTCGAGCCTAATCCGCAGAACAACGGGCAAATCCCGCCGTTGACACGTACGATAAAAACGACATTTTCGCAGCGCTCCTTACGCTAACGATTCTTTCTCTCTTTGCACGTTGGCCCGCATTCTCGCCGCGCATTTTACGCCGACTCTGCCCTTGTTTCGTGCCGAATTCATTCTACGCATTAATGAAGCAAATATATATAGCGCAATCAAGAACTGAACGGAGAGTCGCGCTTAGCGCACCAAGAGTACGAGCCTCCCTCCCCCCTTCCCCCTTTCCTCTAGCTTTAAACGGTTTTGCGTGACGTACTGATTAGAGGACGCTTTTCAGTCTAGATTGCGAGAAAGTTAATTGGATGTTACTGGAGATTCGCGTTTCGTTTCCACAGTTAACGTGCTCCTAACGCGAAGATAATAATCTGGCGAAAAAAAAAAATCATAAACGCATCCGTGCAAGAGGATGCTTAAAAGATCCTCGAAAGACGCGGGAAAAATTGAGAAATCATCGTTTAAAACGTTACAAGTTTTTGATAGTTTTCGAAAATTCGAGGCGTCTTTCGAGCATCTTCGCAATGTCCCCCAGATACGAGCGTTCCTCCGCGCGGAAACCGGAAATATTCTTCGCGCCCGTTGAATGTCTTTCTCTCTTCGATCTTCGTTCCCGACCGTCCTACCGTTTAGGAAAAAGAACAGTATGTAGAGCGCGACGCGCACGAGAGAACTATCGTGCGCGCGATGAAGGAACTTAGCGTTTAGGTCTGGCAACTCAAGTGACTCTATTCTGTAACCGACTGACATTCAACGTGCGAGACATCCGCGATTCGTGCGATCCCGATACGTAAACCCGATAGCCATGTTTTATCATTATATACCTCGCTTCCTCCGTCGCCGACTCCTCTGTCCTTCACGATTGTCCTTTGACTCCCAACGATCTTCGATGATCCTCCTCATTCACATCGATCGATCGATCGATCGATCGATCGATCGGTTGCGTCGTAAGTTACGATCCTTCTGTTCCTCCTTAGCTCCTCTCTTCTTCTTCTTCGTTTCTACTCCCCTCTTCCTTCTCCATCTTAAACAGACTCTCAGATTTATACAGAAGAATCGTAAGGTTAGATCTTTTCTATGTTGGCTCGTCGATATTGTTTGGCCTGGCCACGCATCGATGTTGTCACAAAACCGAACGTCGTCATTTTAAAAAATGACGGCGGTTCCTCCAAAGGAGGAACCAGGCGGTCCCAAGCGACTCTTCTTCGTCCTCTCGAGCGTTCACCAGCGCTCCCATCGTCCGATCGCTCAATCGAGGATATTTCTCGACCCGCGAGGATTCTCGACACGATCGACTGTTGACATCCAGCGGACCGAACAACGGCGCTCGAGGATCATTCAACCTTCTCTCCCTCCTCCTCTTCCTCCTCCTCGCTGGGCTAACAAACTCGAGCGTGCTCGCTTTCGAACTCCTCGAGTCGAACGTGTGCGAACTTCCTTTTTCTTCTCCTTTCATTCATCTGTGTATCTTTCCACTCTCTTCCCCTTCGTCCATTCACGTATATTCGCACACGTTCTCCCGTTTGCTCTCGCTTCCTCCCTCCTTCCAATCATTATCGACTCCTTCCTCACCGCTTTCTCTTTCTTCTCTACCAAGCTGAAGGTGGATCCGGACACGAGCGTGCCGCCACGTTGCTGCTCGACTCGGATGCGGTAACGGGTGCCGAAGTGCGTCGGATCTCGATCGGTTTCGAGCCGGAGGGCGGCCGGCCCAAAACCCCTTGACTGTTTCACGATAGGTTTCGTTGGTCCTCCGCGCAGTCCTCCGCCTTCTTCAGGGAGCGCTTCAGTTTGTCGACCAGCCGGTTATGGAACTTGTTGAGGGAGTTCGAGCTGCCGGTCTTCGGCGGCGACGTGCCCGTGCTCTTGCTCGGGCTCTGGAGAGAGCTCTGGGACGCCCTCGAGGACGTCCTCGAGAAGTGCCGCGAGGTTAGCGGCACGGACCGATGCGCGGGCGAGGTGAGAAAGTCGGAGCCGGGAGAAGTCGACAACGACGGACCCTCCGACTTGGAACATTCGGACACCTGCGAAATCAGAAAAATGTTGTGCGTTCCAGATTAAGACGTAAGGGAAATTTTCTTGGTAAAATTTTCCCACAATCTCATTTTCTTAATTAGTCCTTCTGTTTCTCTTATCATGCATTACTGGCATTAGAAAAAAATGTTATTTTTTTTTTAAAGTAACTTCTATACTATATATTTATCCTTGGAACTAATAATAGTTATTAAAATGCTAAATTTAGCATTTACGGCTGCGCCGTATGTATTTCGCTAAACTACAATTATTACTATCGTTTTATTCGATCGATTATTATTGCTTGTTTTTAAGACGTTGTAGGATTTATTAATGCGCAACAGCGGGTCATCAATCACAATTGAGACTGTTAGCAAATCACCATTCTGTCATCATTATTTACAATCTTTTATTACGTGATCTGCCTTTCAAATCATCCGGATTTCGTTTTAATACATCATGAAAATGGAACGCAACCATCGTTGCGGTAACGACCACGAAGATACGCGTTCTTCGTTGGTTGCTCGCTATACGAGCGGTGAAAGCTACGACGATCGTGACATGAACTCCACGAGACTGTTTTTTAATATATAAACAACTGGGCAAAGACAAATCCTCTTAATCGAATCGAGTATCTTTTTTCTTTTCTCTCGAATGGAATTAAATTTCTAAAAAATCAAGTATTGACTGATCTTTCAATTAATTTAATTTATTTACACAATAATTCGTTCATCAGATGATGTATCTCATTTCTTAAATATTTAAATTCTTATATTTCGTGTAAATAATTATAAGTAATATAATTATAAGTAATATAATTATAATAATTTCTATCTTATTTTGAAGTGATGAAATTAATGTAATTTTAATAATAATTCTTAGAACTAGAAAAAGATAAAGAGTAAGTTGAATTGAGATTAAAGTTAATCTACGTTGGTGGAATCGGGCATTAATAGAAAATTTAAAAATAAAAGTTTTAATTCAGAAATCATAACATCAAATGATATAAATTCGGAGCACGAATTTAGATTTTTAATAATAAAGAATTGTATGACATCAGCTCTATCTGATTAACGCAATAATAATCGTTTCTATTCTGATAAGATAACCGAAATGGAATGCAGGAAGTATTCCGTACGATAATATTTTACACAACTAACCCGCAATTTCCTTTAATTAGCATTTATCGTCCAAATATGTACAAAGCCAAAGCAAGCCAAGCAAGTTGTCCCGTTTGTGAATCTTGATAACGATGATAACCCTACTCTAACGGGTGTACAATTAATTAGTGAAAGAAAAACGCGCTTCTCGTTACGTCGCGAACGTAATTTCCTTCTGATAAATGCGTTATCATTTTGACTAATCGATTAGCGTTTTCGCGGATATTTGCGTGCTCTGTCAGTGTGACTGTCCCGAGCTGTCCCGAGTTATTGCGAAATGCGTGATAAAAATCAAAAAAGGTATCGAGTATCTCGCATATGACGCACGTATACATTCGACAAAACTGCGTACGTGCCCTTTTTCACGTACGAGCCACGAACGAATAGGCTACACCACGTGCTCATATTGTCATCACGATAGGGAGGCGGTAAGTGGCCGATTAGGCTAAATCTGTATAAGCGTCCCTCCTTTTACACATGCACAGCAGGCGGGATCAGGTTACGACGTCACAGTGATTCTCACTATTTCCCCGAGACAGATTTCACCGTCAACGACGGGATCGTGACTCATAAAGTCATTTTTTTCTTTCAGGCTTTAACTCAATTGACAATTTAATTTATCAAGAATTTTATTCAAAGCGTTTTCAACTCTTCCATTTTTCATTCATTTTCTTTTTATTCACTTTAATTTCTTAAATAAAGTGCAAAAACAGCCATTTACCATCCTTACATTCTGAAAATTTAACAAGTTCGTTTTCTAAATGTGTTATAAAATTGTTCAATTCTTTGCCATATTAATGAAGTTATCTCCTGTAATTTATATTAAATATATGAGACGCATAAAGATTATTGTAGAAAAATTGTAGTATAAATATTGTAATATAAATTATTTGTAATCCTGAAGTTTAATCCATTTTATTAAAGCACGATGTCTATTGTTTCAATTAACTCGCCTCTGCTTACGGCTCCAACGAATTTACACATCTACTCTCGCTGTTGTATCGTACGTAGGATTACGCAATTCATATGTCACAGACGAAATGCGACGCAATGTTTATCGATACATGTGCGAGTGAAGTTTGTCTCCTATAAATGTTTCCCATTTAATCTTACCGCGATCCCTAACTCGTATTTATAAAGAACGTTTTATCGGAGCGTTACGCGAGATAATAATAGAAAATAAGAACTGCCATCGATTATTGGCGTCGTGCTATCGGCGTGAGAGAAGTTTAGAATAAATGTTTAAGACTTGTTTGCCACAGTTCATTTGTTCATTGATACTCCGAGTCTCATGTTGATTGTACACAATGAATAAATATGTTTAATTCCGTTTTTGTTACTGATAATTAACATTTTTCTTTTGTACAGCTTAAAGATTGTTATAAGCACGTCGCTATACAAATTTTTATACAAATAACAAATTGCAGAGGTAATAAGTACGTAAAATAAGTTTAATAAGTTTTAAAGAAAAATGCAAACAGTAATGTAATAGCATATTAATTTCAAACTAATCGAAACAGTTAATCTCGCAATTAAATGCATGTTGATTATTAATGCTAGCAGGCGTATAATTTAATTATCATTTATCACCAGCTTTTAGGATTAATTCAGTATGATCACAACAATTTTGTAGCTTGAAATAGTTTTCATCAAAATGTGTATTAAATCTGTGAATGTATAAATTTATGTCTCAATTTAGTATTTTATTAATGAAATTCGCGAATATTTTTATCAACTCTCCGACACGGCACGCAAACAAAAAAATCTTTCCAAAAATATGTACGGCCATAATTAGCTGTTGATAGAACTGTATTGTGATAATGTACGTTGCACAGATTAAAAAATGCGCAGTACACAAACTACAGCTTCGCATTTATATAATTTATATAATTGGCAATGATTTCTCGTGAGCATTAATGTTCTGGCAATAATCATCGTATCTACGTCGTACTGCGTACTTGTAACTTTGTGTCACGTGCTCGAGTTGGCTCTAAATATTCGACATGGAAGGACAAAGAGTTAATTAAAAATATCCCGTTGAAGCTTTTTTATAAAGCTACGACGCATTATCGTGATGGAAATTAACTCTTCATTATATATCGTGTAGAAAACGTAGCACGTGTTATGAATATATTTCTTCATATTAATTTTTAACAATTATTCTAGTGGCTTAATAATAATTCATAACTGAATAATTAATTATTAATAACAAATTAATCTCTGTTTTGTTAATCAAGTTTAATTACATACATATAATTAGTCACTTAATGTGTAATAATATTTTCAATAAAATATAAAAAAATTTATAATTATAATTTGCAATCACAGTACTTATTAAAGATACTGAGGGATGTGATTCAAAATTTTAAAGGTCAAAATTTTCAAATACTTTTCAAATACTCGCACATAACACGAAATGTAATAATTCACTCAAAAATATTTTTGACTTATTTAGCAATCATATCATGAATAGATTTTTTTTTTAATAAATAGAAAAAGAGTTAAAAGAAGAGCTAAGTTCAGAATCATCGAAGCAAAGAAGAATGCTCGCATTTACGTCTTCGCTTTTCGTCGATCATCCTTTTTGCGACGTTCCTACGAAACACCTTTTGTGCTCTATCCTTGCTTATACATCGCTTTAGTGTAGCAGGCCAAGTTCAAGAAACGGTTCGCGAAAATACCCGGAGCGAAACCGAAGATTGCTAGCTTACATAAAACGGAAACAGTTATGTCATCTCGCTTGTACTTTGCGAATATTCTTTTCATGCGCGACTCTTGTTACGCATTCCTGTTAAAGTCGTAATATTCTTGTAAAATACAGCCTTTCCCATAATAAAACAGTCTCTTCACGGTTGAAGAATTATGGAGTTATCTCACTCTTATGCCGAACCTTTTCATCAAGTCTCTTTTGTAACACCGTCATTGACTGCATTAAAAATAAAGTACAGATTCGCATTTATATATAAATATCTGTAATATAATAATTTATTTTAAATCTATACAATATTTCAAAAGATTAATAACATTTTCTCTCTCAATGTTAATATCGCAATAACACAATACTGCTGAAAAAAAAACCTTGATGAGAAAACGGAATCTATCCGACTTGCGTATTATGCAACATATTAGGTAATAACAAAATTCTGCATTATCAGCAATATTACTTCACGAAGCAAGGTACAAAATTTATTCAGGAAAATTAAAATACAAACATAAAAATTGAACAATTCGTTTAAAAGTGATACTCTCGTTATACCGATTTCCAAGGACAATCTACTATATTTACAAATATTTAAACACCATATCCAATGTTGAAATTTATGTTAATCAGCTAAATCTAACGTCGCGAATGCTTCATAGAATTACATAAGAGACATATTAGACAGAATGAATAACAATTTTAAGAAATCCAATCCGTTTCATCATATCAATATTGATAATCAATTTTCCGAGGTATTTAATTGTCTGCGAGATTAAACCAATACGCGATATTTAAGTATTATGTCTTATTATGTATTATACGATATTGTAGGTATTATACGATAAAAATAAAAGATAAGGGACTTTCGAGACGATTGAGAATCCGTACGAGAGTTCACCGTACGATACGTTGCGAAATCGACGATGAAGCTTGCGTAATGTCGCGTCACAGAACTAGTTTGTGTAGGACGTCCTAGACCTAGAGGGACGTGTTTCCGTTAGAAATGGTTCGATAGGTATCACGTTCACCTAAATTTGACAATCGAACATAGTATCGAACAATCTAAGCTTATTATTTTAATTTTGAACTTTAAATTTATATTACAAACGAAATCTATTTGGAATTATTTAAAAGAACGATCTATAGTTAACTAATGTCCATCGTTATTTAATTTATATTTATACTTTATGAATCATATTGCGTACAATTAAAAAGAATTACCTCAAGATAAGTCTCCCCGCTAAAGATATTCAAAGTAAAGTAACAAGCGACATTTTACATTTTATCGTGGAAATCGACGGTTATGATTGAATCTCTCATATCTCATGTTGCAGCGCTAATGATTAAAATGATTTTATATTGGCCTTGCTATAATTAATATTTTTGTAATTGTCGTCGTTACTGTTAATATAAATTTATTTCAGTCGTGCATAAATAATAAATAAACCCAAAAGTCGAATAGTTGCAATGCCACCATGCGATACGCTGGCGATAACATTTACGAGCGCAATAATCCGCGCACCGCATGCAATTCAACGTTTGCGCATAACTGCCTACATCGCGATAAAAATAAACTTCTAACCGGCACATATTTATTCGCCGTGACGTCCTGATCGTCACCTATTATTGACTATGCTTATTCAGCGTCTGCAAATACAATTTCGCCGGACGTTTAGCGATGCCAGAGGAAAACCGGTTCCGAGCGCGGTGAGTCGATCTTTTACGGCAATGATTTCGTGAGGGGAAAAAAGGTCTGACTTTTTCCAAGTTATTTTATCGGCGAACGCCCTGGTGCGAAGAGAACGATAAACTTTGCGGGCTGCATGAATACGATGGCTCGCGAAAAAAAAAAGAGCTGAAGCTATCCTTGAGGCTCAAAGGAAGCCATCAACTCCGCCGCGGCATATATCACGCAGCTCTCTCACGATGATAAATGCAGAATTAATTCCATTTAGAAATGTAAACTCCATGAAAATTCAATTATTAAAAAGGCAAATTCAATTTTTACAAGTTTAAAACTTTCAAAATATGTGGACAGACAAAATATTATCGTCAATTAAATGTGAAGTGATTTCACATTTACGGAATTTTAATTCGAAACGTGTCTATTACGCAATACGGAATTAATCCTTTGCATTCTTAATTATTTCCATCATGATGTGAAAAAATGGTTTTTATTTGAAAATAACACAAAAAAACATGTAATACCAACACATCACAAAAGCACAGCAAGATATTGAAATGAATCTGAACCCATAATTTGAAAGAGGATTATATACAAGGTGTCTGTGAAAAAGAGATTTTGTTTTCTGTCAATGAATTTAAATCCCATTATTAAGCAAAAATTTAGATTTACGATAAGATTTTGTATCTCAATTCAAACTTGAATTTATTTTAGTAAAAATTTAATTATAATTAATATTATAATTCAGTCAATCTGAATTTCTTTAAGAGAAATTAAAATTTCATATTTTAAATGAAAATATATTTCAGCTGTAAAATCTCATTTTTTCAAAACATCTATTCCCCATTTTATTGAAAAACACACGTTCAACAGCAAAAAAATTACACTTCCGTTGTTACAAATAACTCTACGTATTCACAGTTATATTAAAATTGCATAGCATAACATAAATATTTATAAAAAAACAGCACGATGTTTTTATTGAAAGAATCAAAAGGAAAACAAAAAAAATTTAAATTACAAGAGGATTAAATTTATAGCTTCAAGAAAATCGATCTTCTATTTATCGATCTACAACTAATAGAACAATAATATATTCACAGAATTATCCATAGAATCTTATTGCAGAACAATAATATATCCATACTTTTTCCCTAATTATATTATTTTGATATTTTTTATCGATAAAATAAATATCAATATATTGCATATCTATACATAATATTTGAACTCTTAAACATAGATCGATATCTCTTGAAGCTATGACAGTTAAGCAAGGCGTTTATTTTGAAAGGACCAATAAATTTGACAGATGTTATAACAGCTGTTTCATATCTCGATATCTAATCCCATCTCGTATGATATAACAAAGTCCATTTTCACTCAAAACAAACATCTCGCGCAAGCTATGGGAAAACGGAAAAGCACGTCGCGCAAAGCTCAGGATGGCCGATTACCATAAGAATCGAGACGGGAGGACGCTCGGACGTGCCGCACTTTGCAAGACGGTTGTGTCTACCGGTACGCCAGACCTGCGAAAAAATCGCACATGCAAAAGTAGCGGCATTCTATTTACTTGATTTCCTCGTCCTCGCTTTCGTCGCGCTACGATTTTATGGAGATCGATACCTCGCGCGCAGTCTTTTCGTCGAATTACGCTCTATGAGATACATCGGAAAAAAAAGATACATGCATATGTAACAATTTCTTCGCAAAGAGACGTGTTTTTTTTTTTTAATCTACGTCAGCGTACGTTTCAATGCTTTCGCGATACGCGCAATGCAATGCGCGCATGACGCATCAAGACCGGCCGGCGCCGTCATTATTAAAAGTCACCGTCTCTTGCAATCCGATTTTGCATTGACAATGTCAATTCGCGACGCCGGATATAAATATTTAAAAGAAAGAGATCGCTTGCAAATTTTTTTTCTCACCGCATATTGATAGGCGATTAAACTGGTATACGTGACAATGAAACGCACAATTGCGTCATCGATTGTCGATACAAATTGAATTGTTTCTACGTGTATCCATTCGTTATTCAAATTCGCGATATGTTGCTGTAGTACATTTCAAATTACCAAAATCACCTCGAAATACTCTGAAATCTTATGGCGCGTTGAGGCGATCACGTGCGAGAATTAATGTTTATCAACATCCGATCTTTTTTTGACGATTTATACACCGTTGTTGTACAACGGTTCGCGCATACGCAAATGTTTGCGATACGAATGAAGAGATTAAACTCCCACTCATCTTTACAACACGGTACGACAGAGGAACGTCGCATAAGATTTCTTTCTCGCGTTCCTTTTTTTAGCTCATATTAGCAACTTTTTTTATTACATTGAAATTCGTATATTAATTTTCTCAATTCCCAACAATCGTCTTCATATTTTATAATAATGCCAATAATGCACGCTTATAATAAACTGTATATTTTTTTATTCGACGCAGCGTTTTTCAACTAGCACTTTGCGAAGTGACAATGACAGATATTTTTGGCAGATTCACATTCTCCAATAAAAAAAAAAGAGTTTCAATTTACAATTTTGTTTTCTGGCGAAAAGACTTACTGAAAAACGCTGCAAAATTTAAAAAAAAACCTCACCTTTCGGCTGCGACAGGCCTGAGGATTCGAGCATTCGGACGAGCGCCGGCTGCGATTGGTCTTGTAAATGTCCCATTCGTTTTTCACCACAGGCATCATAAACGCCATTTCGTCGGCTTACTGTCTCGTCTCCGTTTCGTCGGCTCAGTTTGTCCTTCCCTTTCTCTCCTTCACTATCTCTCCTCTCGGTCGCTCTTTTAGAAAGTTCAACACACGTCACTCTCAGGAGTGAGAGAAAAGGCCGCTCTTCGCACTGTCCAGGCGTATATCGTGGTTGCGGTCTTATGTCCGAGTTGCGATCGCGTGATTCTGCTTCGGGATCGATCGCGGGATTGATCGCGATCTACGTGAACGATCTATGCGAACGACTCGTGACGACGTGCGTGACGACGACTTTCGTCCTCGGCTGTTCCGGGAAACTGGAAAACTGCATACACGTCGCGCTCGCACAGCTGCGCTTGCTCGATACGCTCGTGCGCGTCTTTCCCCCTTTTTTTTCTCGGTCTTTTTCTTTGGCGCTGCGGCGCTATGCCTCTCTCTGATGCCGGCAATCCGCTTCGAATTCGCGTCCGTACGTTGCGGCAGTCCGCTACGGAATAAGCACGCGCCGGTCCGCGCGTGGATAAGCGAGGATCTCGCGAGTCGCGGCGGGAATGGTGGGGACGGCCGAGCACGTCGATTGGCTGCCGTTGAGGCGGGACACCTACGTCACGGGTTACCATTGATTTTTCAATGTTGATACACACAGCGGCGTGGTGACGTGCCGGATTGAATTTTTGGCGGCGCACTATTGCGCGCACCGTCGCCGTCGGTCATCTCGCGCGTAGGCGCGCTGGAGCGCGCGCGCGAGGTGGATTCATTAAATGCCCCGGGATCCGGATGTCCCGGGGGATCTGAATGTCATATGGCGCGAGAGAAAGTCACGATCACACCGGCGCTCCAGGATTACATGTGCCGATCAGCTGTTAACGATGGATTTCTTCAGCCTCCGCCATCCATACATATTTTCATCTTTTATTTATTTGCATCTTTTTTTATTTATTAAAACATTCTTCCGTTTTTTTTTTTTTTTTTTTTTATATGAGAGGGATCGCAGTGTTGGCTTACAATATGGAATTATTAAGGATACCGTTTTGCACGTATTCATTTCATTTTGCGCGTGAGATGCAAGGGGTGCAATTAAAATGTATAAAAAAACGATGCGTGCAGCGAGAACCGTTACTGACTTTTTGAAAAAATATTTCTCTTCAAAAAAATGTAGCAATGGACGCTGAAATCTGTGAAAATTCCACATAGAGAAATTTCTTGAATCTAACAGGGACTTAGACCAACTTTTCTCTCTAGAAAATCATCAGATCAATCAGATTTTGATTGAAAAACTTGAAAATCATTAAAAATCTCATTTCACAACAATGCTCTTTGATATTGCTTTATTTTCCAACATATTTCGAACATATTTCTGTATATTCCTATTTCTTTTCATTTCAGCAAACTTCCCCATATTCGGATGAAAATCTACAGGAAATATATCATGCATTTTACAATTAATAAATAAAACATATATTGCGGAATATATACATGCGTGCCGCAAGCGCAATAATATACACAAAAATATATTTCACATAAAATATGTAAAATAAATGAGTGGATAAAATCCTATCTCTAAAGTCATATAATATCTAAAATTGTGTAATAGCAAATTGTTATGGAACGCAATATTTTCTCAAAGTGCACATGAAATCTAAACAATCATACCGATATATGTATCGTAAAACTTCAAAACGCGTTGTAGAATTTGCATAAGGTTATTAACAATATAGAACATAAATCAATGATTAATGTTCTCCTCATATCATAATCTTCCGATTGGCAAACACAATTTTAGTTTCCTTAATTTAAAATCCTTCTCGTCAATTTATTTTAATCTCATACACACATACACAAAAATTGAATGTTGAATTAAAGTTTATTTGATTCGAAAATAATTATCATGTATAATAAAAATTTGAGAAAAAGGATTATAAATGAAAATAAGTTTCAATATTACATTCTAATATTTTATTATGTTTATTATGTTTTACCTGAAAATGATAAATAAAATGAAAATATGTTATAATGTAAATAGTTATAATATAAATGAAAAGTTATAATTATTCCACCATACTAAAACATAGTGCATAAACTGTTTTAACTTTTGATGTTACATGCGCAAATGAATTTTATATTTTACTTGGGAAAACAAGTCTTGAATTTATTATGTGCACTCTTGCGTTAATAATAAATGAAATACCATAGTAAAAACCAAAAGATACATAAATAATAAGGAAATGAAAGAAGGAAAATATTTATTAATATTTTAAAACAGACCATCTAAAAAAAAGAGAAAAAGAGAAAGAAAGAAAGAGAAGAATAAATGAGAGCATAAAGGATAAACATTAAAACAGAATTTGTGTCCGTAATAAATAACATAATAATAAACATTCATAAAAATGAGGAAAAATTAAAATACACTTTATTACAAAAAGTGCATGAAATAAATAGCATTTAGTACATTGCAATACATAATAAAATAATTTACCTAAAATTACGTAAAATACATAAAATACATAGATTAGGCGTATTTTAAGTTGATAGCGCAAAAAAGCGATATAGTTATCGATAAGACACAATGGAGGAACACGCAAGAATTTGGTTGAAACAACGCGCGAATTGTAATTTAAGCGGTCTCTTAAAACACGCAAGGTTTTTTTCAATTCTAAATTTAGAGTTAGATCTTAATACAGCGTACTTTAAAGACAAATATTGAACTTTTAGATATTTTTTTAGATTTTTAGACTGCCGTCTATTTGGTACTTTGAATTTTGAAATATTTGTAATGTAACCTTACAGATAAATATTACAAATATATGTAGATTACATATCTGGAGACAAATAAGATGCTTGTTGGCATAAAAAGAGATCATAAAAGAGTGATGAAGAGTTAGCGAATTTTTTGAAGGGTATTGCTGTTACTCCCATCGATCTGCCCTCGACCCTTCGCAAATAAAAAAAATGCACGAATTTGTTCAAGGTCGACGTCAAAGATGGGAGGCGAGATAGAAATGATTTACTATTTTGTTGTGAACGTTTTTAAAACGTTTATTTCTGGCAATTAACTTTCATGTCTATTTAATTGTAAAAAAATAACATCTTCGTATGTTTTACGTATATATTTTTTTAACATATATAATTACATATATAATTACGTAAGGATAAGCATTTGGTTTGCGTATTATAATTAAAATCAATGACATGATAATATTTAAAAGAATATGTACATGTACAAAAGTCTTTTATAAATCTTATTCGCGTTTTTTTTTAAATGAGTAAATGTTTCATTACATGGAAAATAATTACAAAAAAAAACAATTATTATTTTATACGTAATATACGTAAAATATACGTATATATGTAAAAACAATGCATATGTAGTACGTAACCTTCTGAGCAACAATATTTTCGTATATTAACGATAGCATTAGAATAATACTATTATCTAATAATTAGCGACTTGCAACGTTGCAGCTCATTGATGAAATTAATTCCGCCGGCTTAACAAACGTAACTTTCGACAACTGCATACATCAGCGAATTAATTATTTGTAACGTTAGATAAATATGATTTGATGATAACGAATTTTGCACTAACTAGCAATAAATCTCTTGGAATTACTCTCATGACAAGATAATACGGTATTTAATAATTAAGGAAATATTATTTTGTAATAAGCGTATGTGTGCGCGTTTACTTCCAAGTCCTTGATAAAATAGTTTATATCTAGTAGATTTTGCGGACTTTGCGGTTTTGCACGTTTTATCTCACGGAGAAGGGATTAAAATCATGTTTGATACAACGATCAAAAGCATATTATTTTGTTACGCGTCGCACAAATGAACTCTTTTATGACGGCTCAACTCATATAAATTTGTTAAAATACAATATCCCAACAGTATACGTATAATAGGAATCGGAAATCAATATTCCACTTACACTTCTTCCTCGAACACTCCATGTTCGTATATATTGTAACAGTATATACATGTCATGAAAAACGTGCAACAATGGCCGTAAAGCTATTCACAGATGTTTCATAGTTTTCATCATTCATGCGTTAAAAAATATGTATTTTTATGTCATATCCATACACACATTACGTCAATATCGTAGAATCGAAACGAAAACAAAAAATCTATTAAATTGCTTTGTTATTCTATTTATTATGCAATATGCAAAATTTATAAAAAAAATTAGAGATAGATAGATTAGATTTATTTAAAAAAATTTGTTCGTAAAAAAAAAACGAAACTTTAAACATATCATCAGATGAATAAAATTTCATGTTACCAATACATGATAATCTTAGCATCGAAGCATTTCCTAACCAAATGTTATCAATTGCGATTTTATCAACATTAAATAATGTGAAATTTGTATTATTAAAAACCAGTAACATCAATGAAACTTAACTTAATTCACTGACGATCAAGATATTATAAAAGTCATTGACTACAGATAAATTTTCAATAGAAGTTCAAAGATAATTAAAGATTAACATTATCGATTGTTGAAATTTTCGATCGTTTAATTTATTAGATTTGTATTATACATATATTTTAAATATTCATATTTTATATAGTAATATTATATATATTGTTTTATATACAAAACTGCATAATTTTATAAAGTTATCACTCTTATGAATAATCAAACATGGATGATAACGATAAATATGCAGTCATAAATAAAAATTAGATATTATAAAATTGTAGATATATATAAAATCTATGAGGAGAGGAAATGAAAAATGATAAAATTGACATTATGTTATATAAATTAATTGTCTAAATTTTAACAATCTTACGAACTTTCATAATCAATATAATACAAAGTTAAAAATTGGACATAAGAAAACCGTGTTAAAATTATTAATCGAAAAATAATATTTTATTGTTGACTGCTACTATAGTTTTAAATGCTACTCTAATAATTTTAAATGATTTAATTTAAGCTATAAAGCACAATAATTAAAAAATTAACATTTTTGCACATTTCCATATAGATTAAATAATAAACAGTTATAGTTGAGATTATTAATATAAAATATAATCAATTCAAACGCATTTTCTGTATAATGCTAAAGTTTTTTTTATACATCATTATCTTTTTCATTAGAAATATTTTTAAAAGTTTAACAAATACATTTTCACTCAAATGTGTTACTTAAAATAAAATATGTTAGAGGAAATTAGTTGTAATCGATAGTTAGAGGTTTTCTAGTATTTGCAATAAATTTGAGATTTCTTTACTTCTAAAGAGATTTCTAATAATAAATGATTTATTTATATTTCTTCGAAGCTTTATTATTGAACATTTGCTCGACGTGACATTATCAAGTCACATCGCGTGCATTATAAAAATCAAAGTGATACTCATGTTCGCCAAGACGGCTTTCGTGAGGAGAATGAGTGATACATTCAACCCTCTATATCGATTTTTCGTCAGAGTTACTCCGGAGACCGTTCCGCTACTTGCTACTTAAGTGTCTCCTAGTTATCGATGAAACGCAGAAGAAACGAGAAAGCGTCTGCAGCTGTTTAGTAAACTAAAAAATATCCGCGATTCTGAAATCGAGACGAGAAATGTTAAAAGAGAACAAAGAGTGAACGCAAGAAGACATGAAGTATTTGCGCGAAAGTGTTCAACGGCGAGCTTCTCTGCTGTTCTCATTTTTCCAGTAAGTAAAGTAGATTCAAGGCCACCATTTGTAACATAAATTATAATTGCGCGACTACTGCTTTTAGCGTATTAAAAATATATATATCTGCACTATATAAAAGATCACCACCATAATGTTACAACGTTATATAATCTTTGCAACTTTTTAACTTCCTTATTAATAAGTATGTGCACGATTACTATAAACCAGCGTCGAGATAAAAAAATGAGTACAGGGTCACCAGTAATACAGTATGTCATAAACCACTGCGCCGACTAAGGAGATAACGTCGACCGCTAATGTCTCCGACCGTTTTTTATATAACTCGCTTACTATACCTGACGTTCAGAGAAAAAAATATTCATCCGGCCGTAAGATCGGCCGATGTCGAATGTATGAAGAGCGAGGGTGGTATCACCATGGACACACAGTGCGGCGTTATGCTAAATCACCACGCCGACTCAAGGCAGCGAAGGGTTAACGACCAGTAACGCGTCCGAGGGTGAATCTCTGAAAATCGCTCCCGGTGTCGATGCGTTCCGCACGATTAAGCGGTACGGATGCGCTGACACGACCGCGACGGTGGTGCGGCCGAACCCCTTAAAGGGCGCCGCGCGGAAATGGAGGGGCGCCTTTAGTAGGACGCGGCTCGCATTATGTGTCTTCGGCCCGGCTATATACAGTCCTGTTTCACTAACGCGCCGGCCGCGTGCGACGGTTCGCGCGATCGTCGTCGGGACCGACGCCGACGCCGGATCGCCGATCGATCCCCCCCGGCCGCCCGTGGATCGAGCGCCAACCCGATCGCTTTCAGTCCGGCGATCATCCTCGGCGCGATCGCGTGATCCCGTCCGCCGGGACGGTCGATGATTTTCCAAATGTGATCCTGACGATCGGAGAGAGCGATTCCCAGTTGCGAAGAATCACGAAGAAGATTCGCCGATCGAGATCGATACTGATCGACGGCGGCCGCGTTCTCGATGGTGATCGATCGTGGCAAACTGCGAACGATCGAGCGAATGAAGAAAGGATGAGAAGAGGATATTTTCGTCGGATATGATAAATAAGTAGGATACATCGCGGAAGATAAAAAGATATTATGCTCCGGTAGAAACGCACATTCAATCGACGGAAGAAGAAGAAGAAGAAGAGAGGAAGGAAGGTATGAGGAGAGGGTTGAATCTCTCAGAGGGTGAACGTCGTCGGATTGTGACTTGTGAGTACGATCGCACGTGATCAAGATCGACAGGGATCAAAAATGGTGTTCGACGCGATGTGCGAGGAGCAAAGGAAGCAATTCTTCAGGCAGAGCTATGGCGCTCATCTACCCGGGTAAGTGCACATAATCAATTATTTATTTTCAATCTTGATTGATATGTATTTCGTGTGTCGATTAATCACGATACTTTATATTTACGAAACTATCTAACTACTGATTGCGTGTCTGTATCTCGTGAAGGATTTATTTTGTATATTAAAAATATTAAAAGACCCTCGATAGATAGAGCAGGAATTATTATTGGGATGTCTTCTGTCTGACATGAAAACAAGATAATAAAAATCTTTAATAATATATCGTTAAGAAAACAAGATAATAAAAATCTTTAATAATATATCGTTAAGAAATGAGAAAATAATAATGGAACGTTGTTTTTAAATGACAGAACTTTATGACTTGCTAGAATTGGTCCGATGATTACAAGAATCTAATTGAATTTATGGTTTCATTACCATAGATGCTAAATGTCTCGTTAACTTTATTGTTGTTGCATAATGCACATGCGCGACGTCAAACAAAAGAAGCTTGTAATTGAACTAGATATTGTATACGATATACGTAATATACTTTTAATTGGCCATTGAAAAGTTCATTAGATATAAGTGAACATCAACTTTCTCTTATCCTATTTTTTTCCGCTCTTGTCTTATTTTTATATTTATTATAAATAAAAGTACATATAAAACTTGCCCTGTTTCTTTTTTTTATATAAATGTACATGTACATCTTATTTGCGGTGGAAAGTTATTCCAATCTATAACTTAATTATCTATTTATTATTAAAAACGTAAAAACACGCGTGAAATAATACACTTCTAAGACGAAAACGATTTCTATAGCTACCGCTAAATAACAATGAATAATGTATATTATGATATCAGATCTACTTTAATTCGCATTTCTTTAATATATAACCAGATCGTGACGGTAATCAAATCTAAGAAATGTTGTGTGTGTGTGTGTGTGTGTGTGTGTGTGTGTGTAAATATAATGACTTTGTTAAATCATGTGAACGATATTAATATACAATCACTTTTTCAAAGAAAATTGAGATTCTGCCTTTTATGTTAAGTCACATTCGCGTATAATAACGGTATCATAACTCTGTATGCATAATCACACATGTTAAAGTACGGATCTAAAATGTATGGATGGAATATCTAATAGCACACACATACACATTATTTGTATATGTATATTGCTGCGAGCAAAACATATAAATATATTAAATTGCTATAGAAGCCAATAGACATTAGATTTTAGCAATGCGAAAAAATAATCTTTATTGCGTATTAGAAAATAATAAGCAAATAAATTTATATTAATAATTGATTAACAGAAAAAATGGGACAAGTGAGTGTTATTAATATTCATAACAAATTGGAAATCTTATTTTTAACTTATCACAGCAAAAGTTTTAAAAATTTGTTAATTTTTGTATTTTTCTTGATATTCCTTATCTGCTAATATTCAAATTTAGCAAATTGTTTTTATTTTGCATAAGATGCTTCGCATTTATAGCATCGAAAATTGAATTTACTGGATTAATACTTAAATGAGTGACAATCTGACAAAGTGCGTCTTTATAAACTTGACAAAAAAGACAGAAAGCGTGAAATTGATTTTGTAAGAAAACCGCATCTGATTTTCCAAAGGAAATCAAACTTGTTCTGCACGAGAACAGATCCGAATTTTTTTCTTCGGGAATGATTCTAAGCAATTTGATCTTGAATTGAAGGAAGAAACCGCAGAAACGGTATCCAATCCATTGATGAACTTCTCAAAGTTCATTGATATTAGTAATAATATCAAACAATTATAAAATTATTTTTTAAAGGCATAAATAAAAATAAGTTTTAAAATAATATATTACAAAATATTTTCTACTTGATCACTGCTTTAAATTAGACACTTAATTAAACACTTATTTAAAAAAATGTAGGACCAGTCATTATGTACATGACAAATATAAATAAATTTTGAAATTTTTCAATTAGCAATATTTCACTTTGTAATTCATGAAAATTGAAAGCGATTTAAAGATGCTGTTAGTACGATTATTATTATGTACTTTCAAAAAATGTTAATAATATCATAAAACTTTTTCTAGACTTTTTCTAGACTAGACAAAAGTTTTCTAGACTTTATCAAACATTAATATGCGAGATTTTAAAATGAGATTTTGATTTATATCATGACCTTTGATATTCTGTATAAAATAATTGGAATTTTGAGTACGCGCTAATACATTCAATACTACGAACCTGTTTAAAAATCAGCCGCAATAAAGGTAGGCTCGCTTATAATGTATATTGCATCTGATGCATTATGCATTCGCAATATTTACCGATCGCACGGACATCGGACGAGAAAATCGAAGTGGCCAACGTGTCTCGGCTTCGAGATTTTGTCGGATTCAAACTAGATCGCCAGATGACCTCCGGAAACATGTGTTCCCGAAGTATTGACCTCGAAGTCGCGAGCGGACGAGAGCGCTGGTACCGCGGTTGGTACCGCGCCAATTTACACCCCCACGCCCCCACAAAGCTACATCACGCGCAAAACTGCCCTTCTGGTAATACGGCGAATCACCTCGAACTATTTATCGTGATTTACCCTAGAGTCGGTATATCGATCCGAGTATGAAAAGACGCGGATCGAAAACCGACGAGCTGCCCAAGAGAAGAGGTGTTGTCTGAGAGAGAGAAAAGTAGAAACTCTCAGTTTACTCTTTCCGGCAGACTACCTTTCACGTTACGATAAAAATGGTTAGCAAAAAATTACTGATAGCGAGTAAGTGGGTTATCGAGGACTTCTTCAGTTCTTCTCTTTTCCTGCAGAAGTCTAGTTTTCTCCTGCATTTTATAATACAAGTATCTAAATCGTCGATCTTGATTTTAATCCTATACTTTTGGATCAATTTTAATCTTTCCTTAAGAATATTACGATTCTGATTTTTAAATTAAAAAAGGGAGCGAAAAAAGCTTTTCTTGGGGGTAAAAAAAAAAAACTTTGGAGATGCAATGAAAAAGAAATAATAGCTTTAGACTTAAGTCTAAATGAAATCTGAACGATACGTCGAACGGTTTGCTAAAACGATCTGCCTTCCCTGACACTGATCTTGCGATATGGACACGGTAAGATGGTTCAATGGCCCAGATACGATTTATGCAGATCTTATGGCGGAGCCGGGTCTCGTGACAACCGTGTAGGAGTGACTTTGGCTGGTTATCCCACCGTGACCGCCACAAAGTGAAGGCTCGGTTTACTGGGTCACCGGTAGTCCGCTTTTACGGTTCTGCGATTACTTTATTTAGGGATCGGCTGTGATCGTGCTATTCTCTCAGACGCACACTTAAAGCAATGCCCACAATTGACCGAACGAGAATCGAGCAGACAACCGAAAACATTATTCCAAATCTCAGTCGGTCCGAAAATTAACGCCTATATTTCCGAGAAATTTTATTTTTATAAAGAGAATAAAATACGCTTTAATAATAAAGATATCCGACAATTATCCTACAATTCGCGTTCTTTTATTTCAATCACAGATTCACCGATCGTTCTTGATTCTTCCGAGTAATATATTATTTTAATAGTCACGGTATACTTAATATAGAAGTTATACGGGTAAGCAAGTACGCCTCGCGTGCGAGTTCGCATTTTTTCCCGGAATATGCATATTTTATTATATCCTACATCGTTGCAATAAGTAGCGATGTAACTACGAGTATAAATCTAAACGAAGAATCCGCCGTAGGTACATATGTCGCGCAAGGCATTTAAGACCTTAAGAATTAGATACGCTTCACTGAAGAGCATCTATAACATGTTGGTATATAATAGGTCATAATTTTGCACGCTAGACTGTCCATCGTCCAGTATATTTCCAGCATATTTTGGTCATGGAAAAGTACATTGCAAATTGATCGAAAAATCTTCCATTATATATTTGATATGTTGTATTATGCTCTGACGCAACCATGAAACGGCGTCATAATATTAATACAGTTGCTTATTTTAAAAAAGAAAATTTAATTCTCTTTTAATTTTAATAGAAGAATAGTACTGTTATTTAAAAACACTTATCAAAACTTATCAATAGAAAATAGATACTACTTTTACTACAAACTGTATACTTTTAGGTACACGGGTCACTGTCCCACCCTCAAATTTCGTGTTGGAAAGAGGTTCGGAGCGAGTACGGAGGAAATAATGAAGGTATAAATTAGAAGAAATATCAAAAGATTATTATAAAAGTTATAATTGTACAAATGTAAATTAAAATTTTAATTGTAATTTTATAATTATAATTTATCTTTTAATTATAATTATAATAATATAAATATATATAAATGATAAAAATGAGAGAGAAAGTGAGAACGTTTGTAGAGAAACATGAAAAAAGATATCTTAATTTTAAAGCATCATGGATAATTAAGTTTTTCATTTAAGAGTGTAAGTATGTATTATGTGTTGTCACTTAGGAATTACTGGAAAAGAAAATACTTAAGACTGGACCATATAGGCCAAATTCTGGTAGAGAAGTGGAGTTACCAAGTCTTCAAGATAAAGAGATTAAAAGAGATTGGCATAACGAAACTGGATCATTTAAGGCACCTCCATACATCCTAGGATATACCGGTAAGATATATCCCTTCAAATCCTTTTTAATCGCGATCAAAATAAAAAAAAAGAAAAATGTCTATTCTTTGGGATATCACTTGAATAATAATTTAATTTTAAATCTTGATTATCAAAATATTTGATTATAAAATTTAAGAATTTGGAAGATAAATAATAAATCTTTATCAAATTTCTGCTGTGAAAGATCCATGTCGGTTCAATAAATATTTAAAAAGGAGATCTGCAATTAAAATCCTATTTTATCGCCTCAAAGTACTGACACAGAATGAAATTGCTTTGACATGACCTTCGATGTACGCGATTAGTGAGCACTAATCGACCTAGATCGTTTGTAATTAGCAGTTTGTGTATTGCATCGCGCGCATGGCAGAACTAATACTTAGTTATACAATCTCAATCCAGAAAATATATATATCACCTATATACATTATTCCTTCTTCATTTATACATCTAAAACATAATATCTGAACTAATTTGCATTTCTAATTTGCATATTAATCTTTGGAAAAAAAACTTACGGATATCTCCTACATTTCCTCCGCAAATTTATTTCAAAAGTAAAATAATAAGTCATAAAAAATTCATTCATTCATCGATTCAATGTGCAACAGAGTTGAAACATACATAATAATCTGTAAAATATAATCGAAATATTAAACAGTAAAAAAATATTAAATAGTCCAAAAAATAAATAACATTATATAAAATAATTATCACCTATTAAATTTTTCGTCCATTCTTTAAACAAATATTTATTAAAAGAATTAATTAAATCGAAATAAAGCATTCTTTTTTTTAATTCTCAAGAAATTTGTCAAATAAAAATCTAATTCTTGTGTAGTCCAAATACAATTACAAATTATATTGAAAATTTGTATATATGTCTATAATTGTAAGTATTAAGATATCATTAATATTTCATGAAATATTTTTTAAATAAAATAGCATATGATGTACAAAAGATAAAAATTACCCTTAACAGCAAAGTAAATATATAGAACTATATATATATATATATATATATATCTCAAGAAATATATGGCATTCACTTTCACGATGTCCTCCGAACACTTTCAGACTCTATATATGCTGTTACGGACAACAATAATAAATTTTTTAAGTCAATTGGGTCATGAATTGTTCACCTGCCGTCGCCATGCCATCCCGGACCTCCTCCTTCTCTCCTCGAGTGTTGCTTCTGCACGGCACTTTCTCACACACATATACACACACTCATTCACGATACTCACTCGCGAAAGCAGAATTACGTACGCGCATCATTCGCGAAAATAACGGATCATTAATCGGATATTTGCGTGAAATATTCACCACTGATAAAAAGTTGCGATCAAATTAATCATTGATAAATATGATAATGTTAATAAATATGATAAATTTAATTTTCATTTAATATGATAGCTTTCATATGCATCTTTCTTCCACGAAGAGATTTTTATTTGACGTTATCTCAATTCACTGCACAGGATATATTCCTGGATTCAGCAGCAGATACGGCCTATCCTTCATGAAAGCGGTGGAAGCTGGTGCGAAGGAATGGCACGAGATGCAGATGAAGCTAAGAGCACGACGGGATGCAATGAGAGCTCACGCCGAGCGAACAGATCCGAGAAATCTTTTGTCCCGAGCGAGAGCAGATAATGTGGATATCGAAATCGATCACGGTCATGACAAAGACAGAAGGACCTATGGTATATGCGTATTATGTAAAAATTAAAATTCACCGAGAAACTTAATACATTAATTCTCATTAACAAAATTTTTAATTGGAAAAAATTTTGTTTTATACACACACACACACACACACACACACACACACACACCCACCCCCCACACACACACACACACACACACACACACACACACACACAAGATTGAAGTAAAGCATTAAGATCTATTAAATATTATGTATATTAAATATTATTATCATTGTAGATTATCATGTCTCCCCAGAAAGACCGCCGATTGTTGGTTATACAGGCCACATTCCAGGAGCAAGAGGAGAAGTCGCGCTTTCCAAGAGGTACGCTCAAGCAGCCAGGAAAGGATTAGAACGTGTCCAAAGGGAACGTGAAGAGAGACTTAGTAGGGCCAAAGATGAACATGCTGTTCAGAGAGTTCTCGATAATGCATATCTTGATGAAACAGGACACACGCGTGCATAACGTGATACAAGAATATGATCTTTAATTGTAACATGAACAAAAGTGAAATAAGAATATATTCAGATGTTGGAAAAAAGAATTAAAAAAAGAAAACAGCTGAAAATAACAAATATTATACAGAGTAACTTTTACAGATATAATAGATATTCTCAAATATTCATACAAAAGCTTCTAAATTCTGTAATGCTAATTTTGTGGTACTTGAAATATTAAGTATTCAGATTTTTGATGAATAAATATTTTGTACCTTTTCTTCGACAGCGTTGGAAAGAGTAAGTAGACATGAAAAGTAATCTTAAAGAATAAAATTTAGTTGTAAAATTATTTATGTCAGAAAATCATAAAAATTATTTTTTGTACTTCTATTTCAAACGATTTTGTACAAGTAGTAATCATTGAGCAGTAGTAGATTTTATATAATATTTTCTATAATTTTCAGACATAAATAACTTTAAGTAGGCTATTTGAATATAGAAAAAGAGATACATATAATTATTAAAGCATAAAAAATGTATTCCTGATAGAAAAGATAACAAAGTTTACTAATTTTTGAAGATGTATGCGTTGAAATATATTGAATATATATTATAAAATAGATTACACAAGAAGCTTGTCTTAATTATTTTTCAAAGAGAAATATGACAATCGAAAATCAAATTGTCCTTGAAATCATTATTTAGAGAATCGTCGTAAATTATTAAATATATTTAAATGTTCCATATAGAAATAAATTAACCGCAGAAATAAATCTATGAATGTGAATCACTCCAAATGCTTTGAGCTTCCAACGTTCAATAGGTTTCTGCACATACATGCACCACGTATATATGACACACATAGGATTGTTTCACGTTTAACACATGTGGAAAGAATATAATTCTTTGAAATATTTCTACTAGGAAATATTTTCAAAGAAATCAACAAGAAAAAAACGATTAATATGCAAATGTGCTAGTTCCATTTCAAATAAAATAAACAAAGACGTAAGTCTGAACTTTATAATTTATGAAATGGATTATAGCCAATGTACTTAATAGGTAATATTTTAACGTGATACTTATTAGTAAAGTTTTATTTGCTAAAATATAACCAATGAGATCTTTATCTATGTAAATAAAAGTTAAGTCCTAAACTTCCGTCCTGTTTTATAGAGTAGTAATTAATATAAAAATGTATATATATATATATATATATATATAATAAAATGTATATAATTTTTACTATACAATTACAATATTAAATATTACAAATATAAATAAATATTTGTATTAGTATCATATAATTTAATATACACCTGGTATTATAATTCTTTCCCGAGTTCCAACAATTATCTTTCACGTTGTGGCAGCCTATTCATTCTTTCCATTTCCAACTGCACAGTTTTTTTCCAACATTCTGTGTTTAAGGTCGTTTGTCCATAAGATAAGGCCATTAATCTAGCGAAAACCATTAATGCATGTAAATTATCCGCATCTATATTCTTGTTTCTGCTACGCATCTCCACAAAATCATCTTGGACAACCTGGAGCAAATATGAATATAAAAAAAATTATATGAATAAAGTAAAAGATCTTTAAAATAAATTGAATGAATGTAGATATTAGTATTAACAATCAAACAAATACGACATACTTTTGTGATTTCTTCATTAAAAACAAATTCTGTATGTTTCAAAGTTTCTATGTATTGATGAATATTCGCCAATCGATTCTCGTCTTTCAAATACTGATATGCAGCTTCAACTACCTGAGTATATAAATTTTCCGATTCTGCATCAATATTTAAAATAATTCGCATAGGACACTAAAAATAAACATTTCACAAAATAATATCCATAGAAAGTATAATATATTGTATATTGCAAACAAGTACTTACAGGAATAAACGATTTGACATCAGAGAATATTAAAATTGGAATATCTGTTTCGTATTCCATTGTGTAGTATTTGAAGTCATACATCAGTTTTTGAAACATGAGTAAATCAGACAGAGCTTTATAATTCTCCTTGCCAATTGTAGTAAGTGTACCAGTGGTTAAACCAATTTCGTCTATTACAAGATGCGTATTATTGCTCAGTTGTAAAATACCACTTGTCAGTCTGTTGCATATATAATCCTTTCTAAAACCGAACAATGCAAATTTAGTCATTGCGTTGCAATATGCGTTTGTTAAGACAAACTTACTTTGGAATTAAAGCTAGTTCATTCAAATTTTCCAAAGTCACCTCCAGAAAATGACTTTTCTCTACGAATAATGTTAAAAAGTTATAGAATTCTTTCGGAAAAGTCTTGAGTTTATTCGCTGGAAAATTCGTTATGTTCAGTGGAAATGTACCAAGACAAAAATAATCTCTTCTCATATATCTAAAAATATTAAAAAATAAAATTACACATATAATATAAATTTTTAAAGAAATAATAAGATAAAATATATATACATTGTAGAAAGCAAGTGACATATCAAATAATCTGCAGCCAAGTTATCTCCAAACAGCAATTGACTCAATATTATATGCAGATCACTCCTAATTAGCTGTGCTTTAGACATGATTTCTGGAGAGTTTACAATTTTCGATTTTGTAAGCTCAATTATTTTCACTGTGTGTAACCGAGGCACTAGAGAGACCGGAGGATTATGAGTATGTACTTCAGCTTCGTTCATCTCATCTACATTATAAATTGTACTTAACATTGGATCCAATGATACAAATCCTATTACATCGATAACTTGATTCAATTTTAAAACAGTTTCATCGTAAACCTGAAAAATATATATCAAAAGAGTATTGAAAAAGATATGTAAGTGTAAAAAGATATATATATATATATATTATTTTTTTTCTGTATAATTTACTTTTATTATACAAGCTTTTCCTCCGTCAATTGGGACAGGAAAGTTTAATATGTGATCTTTTGATAATAAATTCTGAACTTTGGTACTATGACCATTGCTCATATTCACATCTTGGTCATCAGCCGAGACTTTTTCTTTTTTCGTAACAGACTCTGAACAATCCATTTCCTCTACTTCATTATCATCTAGACTTCTTTTATTATTATTAGTATTATGTATTGTTGTGTTAGATATCTGTATATTTGTGTTCTTTTCCTTTGCCCAGTCATTTAATCCAGGTATAGAAATAACTACATAAGTTAGCCTTTCTGAGTTTTCATTCTTGTCGGAATAAAACATTATTTCTTCATGTGGCTGTAGCCAAAATAAAAGTTTATAACATCATATTGCATAAGAATATTCAATAGATCTTACATTTCTAAAAAAATGTATGCAGTATTATACATGGGATAAAACTATTCTTAATGCAACCCACACCTAATACTGCATTTTACTTTTACTCTGTTTTTTTATCCACTGCTCATGTAGGAGTAGGAATAGTAATAAGCCTGTTCTTTAAAAAACTGAATATTTATATTTAAAATAAACATATAAACATACTTTAAAAAACCTTTAAAAAATTTATTATATAATTATCAATTATTAAAATTTTGTCAAAGAAATGTTAATATTAACATTTTATATTAATATATATTAAGTTAATATTAACCTCTTCCTCCATTTGAAGTAAATAAAGTTAAAATTTAGTAGAAATGAAAACAATATAATCTTCAATATAATCTAATATAGCAATAAAGAACAAGCCCACAGAGTTTATAAGACAGATATAAGAATACATGAAAAAAAAAATCAAACATGAAAATAACTTACCAAATGTTGGACTGTATCTGCATACATTCCACATCTAACGTTACTCTCTCCAGTGTTTGTATTTTTCACTTCGTAATGTTTAAAGTAATACTCAGGGTCATACATGTCCTGAACCATCCCTCGAAATCTAATTAACTCTTTATCTCTGATATTATGCAGTTGAACATTGTTTAATGAAGGTATCTCTGTCAATACAGCCGGATTGTCCAAAATCTGTTGACAAACAGATTGATTTGTGATGTAATACTCGGGTGTCCAGTTCTTCACTTCGACTGCTAGAATGAGAAAATTAAATGATAAACGTGAACCAAAGACGTTCACTTAATGCATAGCTTGTAAAATTCTACGCATATCTTTATGACAATAAAATTAAAATTTTTGAAATTCTTTCTTTTTTTTCTAAAAAAAACTAAGTCACGTTTCATCTGAAATAAGTACTACAAAAAGTACAGATCCAGAAGAAACGGAACAAGTGCAATGAATTGTGCAAATGTAAATGCGAACCGCAATATACGTACATGTCATTTTGGAAACACTTGTTAATCCAACAACTAGGTTTAAATGTTAGAAAAATCAAACTGAAAACGGCTGAGAATCTCTCGCGGAAAAGTTTCTCTGCTACGTCTCGCCTTCACAACAAGATTTGGCGGGAAAACATCGACAACGACATACACCAAGAACGGAAAACGAGGGAAAACCTAAAACAAGACTGAAAACAGTGAACTCTATTGTTAAAGACCAACAATCTTATAAGAGTCTTTCTCTCTCTCATTAAGTTCATAATATTAATTTTATTTAAAAATGCATTTTTATATATTCATTTGTGTTTGATTATCTATAGAGATAATAATTGTAGGATAAAGTTATTAATTTTGCAGTAATATATGTATATATGATATTATAGAATTATAAATATGCTCATACATTTGTAAAACATTTGTATAATTAAAAATCATGAATTTGAATTAGCAAAATATAAATTAATAAACAATAATAGCAGTGGGAAAAACTATGTGGGAATTAGATGGGAAAAACTATATGGGAAGAAGATGGGAAAAACTATGTGGGAAGAGATAGGAAAAACTATGTGGGAAGAAGATGGGAAAAACTATGTGGGAAGAAGATGGGAAAAACTATGTAGGAACTAGATGGGAAAAACTATATGGGAAGTATGTGGGAAAAAATATGTGGGGACTAGATGGAAAAAACTATGTGGGAAGAAGCAGCATTCTTCAATTCAATCGGCTCCGGAGTCTCTTTGATGTGAAAACTTACTCAAGGTTGACGATCTTTAATAATTTTCATCCGTGACTCTATATCATGCATGAATGAAAATACATATATACCTATGTATAGACTTATTGGCTGAGAACGACTTGGTTGGATTTGACACTTTAGAAGGCCAACCGTATCTTGCACAGATTTTTAAACTGCAACTTTGTTTTTAAAATAATTCTGCTCGGCAGAATTATTTTGTTAATGAATCAGAAATCTGATTTACTATCAAACCGGCGAAAGAAAAAGTGTCATTTATATGTCACATAATCATGTGTGACCATTATAAAATTTAAGAATTGAATAAGCTCTGAAGTGAAGAAATTAGATTTATTTCTAATTATATTAGATTTATTTATAAGATTTATATTTTTGATTCGATAAGATTTATATTTTTGATTATCATCTGGAAATAATGAATATTAAAGAGGAAAAAGAAAGACATGACAATTTTTCTATCAAATACTCTTATCAGTAATCACTACATATATACATACATGTTCTGATATGAATGTGACGAGCTCCGATGCAGACGTACACGTGCAATGATTTAGAATATATCTTTAAATTGCAATCTTAAAGTTAACATTTAGTTGAAATGTTTCAATTCTAGAGTAGAGTTTTTTTTGTCATATAAGTAGCAGTATGCAAAAGATAAGAATTTGACACATAATTAATGCAGACTGCCGATTCAGCAATAACCCTACGATTGCTAGTTCAGCAGAGATTATTATTCGCTTCGAAAATTGTGAAAGTTTTGTCAAGATGCAGTTGAAAAGCGGATTGGCATCAAAATATATGTACATCACATTTGTGATTGCAGCCTACTGGTGAGTCGTGAAATAGATATTAAATCACTTTGTTCTGTTTGTTAATTGTTCAATATATTTATTTAAATTGAATTTTCATTAAGATATGGAAAGCGATGTGATCCATAATCTCTCTTAATAATTTTAAACAAAATCTCTTCAAATATATTTTTAAATGATTTTCAGGGTGGTATCCATCCTGACTGTATTTGTGAATAAAGCACTTTTGTCCAGTGACACAGTAAATTTGGATGCTCCTCTATTTGTAACTTGGTTTCAATGTATAGTAAGTGTAATTATTTGCATTACTTTACACAAACTATCGCAATGGTTCCCAGATTATATCCAAATTGCTGATGGCAATCCATTTAAAAAAGATACACTGAAAAAGGTATGTAAAGATATTATTAAGATTATTTGATTTAAAAAGAACACGAATATTTTTATATTAAATTGGTATAAAAAGCCAATAAATTTAATAAAGAAGGAAAACTCTGAATTAGAATAGAAAAATGACATTAAATTTTATTATTCTTCTCTTTTCAACAATTTTTATAAAAGTGTACCAAGATATTTATATATATATTTTGTTTGAACTGTTATAGGTACTGCCATTATCAATCTTATTCACTGGAATGATAGCGACTAATAACTTATGCTTGAAATACGTTGGTGTCGCATTTTACTATGTAGGTCGTTCGTTAACGACGGTATTTAATGTTATTTTCACTTATATTTTACTCGGTGAGAAACTAAGTTAGTAAAACTAACTAGAAATTATTAGAGGAACTAATTTGTGAAAGTTGCAGGGCAAACAACATCGCTCAAATGCATAATTTGCTGCACGGTAATTATCGCTGGATTCTGGTTAGGAGTCGATCAAGAACACATAGCGGGTTCTCTGTCTGTTCTCGGGACATTTTTCGGCGTGCTTGGATCGTTGCTGTTATCCCTATATTCCATCCGTATGAAACAGACACTTCCAATTGTAAATCAAGATATCTGGTTACTTTCTTACTATAATAATGTGTACAGCATTTTTATCTTCATCCCGTTAATGATAATTAATGGCGAACTGACAATCATATATAATTATGAAAAGCTTGGACATCTTTTTTTCTGGGGTGCTATGACAGTCGGTGGTATATTCGGCTTTGCCATTGGATATTTTACCGCACTTCAAATAAAAGTCACGTCCCCTTTGACACATAACGTCAGCGGTACCGCGAAAGCATGTACTCAAACAGTTTTAGCAACTTATTGGTTTAATGAAGAGAAATCGTTTCTCTGGTGGCTAAGCAATATCGTTGTCCTTACTGCCAGTGCGCTTTACGCGAGGATTAGGCAACTAGAATTGAGTAAAGAATATAACAAAGATGAGACACGACAGTTGAAAGTATAATAAGGTATAATAATTTTATTTTTATATGTAAAAAGTGTCACTTTGCACAACGCGTGTGTACATAAATGTTTTTTTATATTTTAAGGAAACGCAGAAGAAATAGCAATATATGGAAGAGAAGTTTTACATATACACATAAATTGCAAAAGGTTGTCCAACGATTTTGCAACAATATGTATATACGTATGTACAGATATCTTTGCGTGTATATATATTAATATGCATAAAACAGTATTATAATATTAAATATTTTAAATATTAAGTCCATAATTTTACAATATTCAGTCAGTTTCTTTTTCTACAATATTTGTTTTATATACGACAATATAAAAATCATCTTTTTCTACATCTATATTATATGCTCATAAGTATCCGACATTATCTCTTAATATCACAGTATTGTGTAATCTGCGAGATTCTCGAAGATAAGTTGAGCCTTGTATACGGCTTAAAATCGTGATGAAATTCCATTTCCACGACTATCTGAGTGACTCGATAGCAAATCTTTCTTCTTAATAACTGCATTTACACTTTTTATGGGTAAGTTATTGTCGTGAGATGATATCATGGAGTATAATCGAGCTTGCAATGCAATCTCCATTGAATGTTTTTGATTATTTTCAATCTTCATAAAAGAAATACTATCAGAGGAAAAATAGTATCTGTAAAAACGAATAAACTGATCTCTGCGCCAATATATCATATTTATCTATTTATCTGAGATTATTAAATCTTTTTATATACCTAGGATATTCTATCGCAGCGGAAACATTTAGAGAGCGCATGATAAGATTATAGAGGATCTCGCCATTTAGAAAACTATCGTTCGAACCAAATACTCCACGTAAACCACACATTTCTTCGTTGTGATGGAAAATAACAGGGATGAATGATTCCAAGTCATTGGCATCGAAATTGTCTAATAAAAACCCAGCGTTCGTCATGTTTTGAGAGCCCAATGGTGAACTTAGACCGCTGCATTGTTTAAAATATTAACAGTGATTAATGATAGTAATTATCTGATATGTATAATCTGAGATATATAATGTAAATCTGAGATATATAAAAATATTCTGTTACTAACGTTAAAACGCTAACATAGGTATCTTGCCAATCCATCGCCATGACTCCAGTGTATGTTGTTTCGTCTATTGCTAAAACTGCGTTTTACGACATTAATAAGCGCAGATTTGTATTAATAATTAATCAAAAATGATTGACTTACTATGTCGAATGCTTAAAGGAAATGATGAATATACGCGCATCAATGTCTGAGCAACGAGAACTTGAGATTCTATAGTAGATGCATTTTCTGAAATTGGAAGACTTTCCAGTGCTTGGATTATCTTTTGCATAAACATCGCATGTGACGGATAATAAATTGTATGACGATGTAATATTGATTTTTTTGCAGACGTCACAATAGGATGATAATTCGCTAATTGCTGCGATTCCTCATGGAAGATAGTGTGTAAAATTTTATAGGATAAAGTACCGTTATATAATGCTAAAAGAAAATTATTTAAGAAAATTGTTTAAGAAAATACAAGATAAAACTATAGAAATCATATATCTATGAGAAACTATAAGAAATCATCTATGATTAAGAAAGCTACAAACGCGCATACCATTTGCGCCATATTCTGCCACAGTGTCCAATGTATTTGCAAGTTCCTGCAACTGCAATATATCTCCCGGATTCAAAGGACCGTAAAGCATCCGATTCTTTGACACTTCATCCGCTAGATCTTTGGATACTACGAATCCCTCTCGAGCTAACTTGGCAGCAGGTTCTATGATATCGCGCCATGGCAAATTACCATATGATCTTTGAGCGAACTCTAATCCCTTTAATAGAGCTGGCAAACGTCCAAAGGAACCTACATTGTGTAGGTTTGTTGTATATAATACATGTGTATAATATATATATATATATATATATATATTTTTTTTTCTTTAATACACTAAACTAATGCATTAAACTGCATTTACCTCTAGTAGTATTACTTGCAAAATCAATGATAATTGGATCACTATAGTCTGTGTGATTTTTGTAATTGTATATCATTATATAACCACCTCTAGAAACAAAATCAAGATTAGAAACGACAATCAGAACTAATTCAGACGATGGTCTTACCCGCCAAGACCAGTTTTATGAGGCGCTACCACAGCCATGCAGATGGTTGCTGCTACTGCGGCATCGACTGCATTGCCTGATCTCGTTAATATTTTAGTGCCAATTTGAGAACAATTGGCATAATCTGTAGCAACTGCTCCATGAATATTATGAAGATTGTTCTAAAACAACAGATTTTCAAAATATTTCATAATTGATTTGTTTCTTTTTCGATTTCTAATATCTACCTGTGGTATTTCAGTATAAAGAATTTGCAACACTAGCATTGTAGTGATGGCAAAAGTCAATGCAACAAAACAAACAATGATGAATCTTAGCCCATTGCCGCAGTAGATGCACAATCTGTATTTGTGAGTTTTTTCCTTTGTTAAAGGACATTCTTCCGTAAGACCTGCAACATGTAAACTTATATCCTTCCTTGTTATCTTACATATAAAACCAATTAATCATTATTTTGAGTACAGCCTTTAATGACTAATGTCTATTTCTACCAAGGTACACTGCTTTAATTTCAATTTTGATTTAACTTTAATTTCAATCTTTTTCTAATTTTTAGAATTAAAAATTAAAAAAAGGAAAAGTAAAACCAAAATTAAAGTGATCTACATTGGTAGAAATGAATATGAAAGTAACTTCAAGCAAACTCCAACTTATTAATATTTATATCCTAAAAATAATTAATTTTTGCTGTTTAATATATGGAAAGAAAAATTAGAACAGAAACAATATGCATCGATTTGCAATGATTTTATTAAATTTAATCATTGATTAAGTTATTTAAAGTTTCATTCATTGGAATTAATTAGCAATCTGTAAATATCATACAATAATAAATATTTAGGTCGATATGGAGTAGACAGTATTCATGCTTACGTGTATTATAACTCATTTTTTAAAGGCTGGAAATAATTTCCTGTTGTATTTATATTTATATAAATTTCTTTAATAATATACCAAAAGAACTGCGTAAATATTATAATAAAAATTGGTGCAGCAAAAAATGAAAGCTGGAAGAAACAGCTACGAAGAAGAAAAATAAATGGTGGGGATATCTTTCTTTTTCGGAAGTTTGACAGATTCCTTTTACCGCCATCTACACAGATTTAGAAGGAATTAATTAATAACATGGTGGTATGCAGCGGACTTTTTAAAAAATTTATTTAAATTATTCGTCACAAGAACGTTGTCAATTCAACACGTGCAAAATTTATAAACTTCACAAAATCGATCACTGAGCTTCTCTTTCTGTTTTTCTTTATGAATCTGTATTAAATATATTCCCTAAAATGTCACTAGGCGAATCATCCTCCGAAGTATAATCAATATACTTTTTTTTACGCTGCACATTTGAGACATTAAAAATACATCTAGTCAATTCCGTCGAATTAGACGCGTTTGGTCTTATATTGTAATAAGTTTCTAGAAACTCTAGCACAGATGATTTATTTTGCAGACTATTGAACAACACTCGATCTTTCCTTGGTAAGATCTTTTCCAACATAAATACCAAATGATGATGGAAACATTGAAATTCAGTTGATATACTTGATGTGATATCCAACCAATCTTGAACACAAACCAGTGGAGTGGTGGAATATCCCGAAAATAATGCTGGGTTAGTTAAGATACCCCTGGCAGACATCACCCCCTCACATCTGGATTCTTTAAATAAGAATTCCGCGCTTTCTAAACTTTTTATATCACCATTTGCCACAAGAGGTAGTTGTACGTGGTCTCTAAGGAGCTTGAGATTGTCCAAATTGATTGGTTCATTACGCATTTCAGGAGTCCTTGCGTGAATCGTCAAAAACGATGTATCAGCTTTCTCCAAAATTTGACACAACATTATCGTTTGACGTATATCTTTCAACAGACGTATCTTCGCAGAAACAGTGAATGGCTTTGAAATACGATTCCTAACTTGACGTATCAGATCCTTAACAAGCTCTGGTTTTCTCAACAAATCAGCTCCATATCCCTCTTGCATAGCCCAACGTTGGGGACAACCACAATTTAAGTCAACACCATTGGAATATCTGTTGATAAAGGAAAAACATGATATACAGAAAAATTATAGGATGTAAAAATTATAGGATGTATATAAGCATTTGATATATGATGAACTTACGGTGCAATCATTACTGAAGCATCAACAAAATCGCTCACATTTTTAGCTGCAAATTGAACTATCAGTGGCTGGTCTTCTTTATGCGTAGTAAATTCATTGTCTCTAGCTTTTGCAGATTGCACAAACGAATCTGCCAAAATCATGGGAGTAAAGCATATATCGCATCCATACTTTCTCACAAGTGTCCTAAATTGCAACCTAATAAGAAATAAAAAAAAGTTGATATAATACACGTGCGATGTTCGAGGAATATTGTTTTTACTTACTTGCTGTATCTAACCATAGGAGCGCATATCTTCGTCATTCCCGGCTGTTTCAACGTTTCCACTATGTCAATAGTCATTACGATAAAACTTTTATTAATCAATCACAAATTTAAAAGAAGAGGAAAAGATAGATCGACATTCACACAATTAAATATACAGCAAAATAAAAAAATATCATGAATGAAATAATAACAAAAGTTTCATATTCAGTTTATTCTAGATGTTTTGATCACAGGACGGCTTTGAATGCCACAAAACATGTAGATTGTCATGTAGATTGGAAAGCAAAAGTACATACAAGAGATGCAGTATCAAGTATTGGGTGCTTTCCATTTAGTGACACAAGTATCATTTTATCCTTGTTAATCATTGAAAGCCAAGAAAGATAAAACGATACCTGTGTCAACTTGTGTCACTAAATGGAAAGCATCCATTATCAGTGCTTATCCAGACACTAGAATGCGATTTTATCGACAGTTAACATGGAGTGTTAAAAAATGGATGTAGTAAAGCAGTTATAAATTCAAAAATGGACATACTAGCGATAGTGTGCAAGGGACTTTGACTAAAGCCTTGTGTCCACGATGCTAGAAACGGTCCGAGATTTTGGATGAAGAAAAAATTGATCAATCATATTGATCAATTGGCGGAAATAGTTAGTGCAATTGATCAATTTTTTTTCTGTCCGAGATCTCGGATTAATTTCTAGCATCGTGGACACAAGGTCCACTAACTCCCGGACTACAATAGATAATTTTAAGCCTTACAGTCATAAGAAATTGACCAATCATAGTCGATTATTCTTCTATTCTTCGACTATGATTTGTCCATTTCTTATGGCTTAAGGCTTAAATCACCCTTGTAGCCCGGGACTAAAATCACTAGTGACTTTAGATTTTAACGGTTTCACGGAAAAAAGCCGCTCTCAAATTTTTCTCTGATTCAACCATATCGCTTCGGTATTTCGTCTCGATTGGTTTTTCACTGAGCATTTAGTGTTGTTTGGTGATGTTAGTTTAATGTTCTACTAGCTACAATTACAAGAAAAAAATCGCGATTAAAGTTAAACTGCATTCTGGAATCGTATACTGAGTGAAAATGAGTAATATATTCGGTATCGAAGACGGTAAGTGAGCCAGAGCAACGAAATAAATTAAGGTTACGAAACATACATGAGTTTGTTGAGCTTTGTATGCATGAATATTCACTTTTCTTACGATATTTCCAATATATTTCTTTAATCGTATTTTTTATGTTCGTTTTCTTATAAACTTGGCTTATATTTCAACGATATTTCCAATTTATCCAAGTTATATCATTTCTACTTAAATTTCTTAATCACTATATATTTAAGATATTTTTAATAAGAATTAAAGAAAGGAATCATTTAAGTAACTTCGTTTCTACTTACAATCCTCAATCAGTTTGCAATTTTGTAAAATAATATTTTTATCTATTTTAGATCAATATGATGAGGAAGATGCTGATGAAATCTCATCAAAACTTTGGCAGGAGGCCTGCTGGATTCTCATCAATGCATACTTCGATGAAAAGGGTCTTGTGCGGCAGCAACTCGACAGTTTCGATGAATTCATCGAAATGTCCGTTCAACGTATTGTAGAAGATTCGCCACAGATTGAACTACAGGCAGAGGCGCAGCATACCACAGGTGAAATAGAAAAACCTGTGAGACATTTATTGAAATTTGAGCAAATTTACTTGTCAAAGCCAACTCATTGGGAGAAAGATGGTGCGCCATCTCCCATGATGCCCAATGAAGCTAGATTGAGAAATTTAACATACTCTGCACCATTATATGTGGATATCACCAAGACGATTGAAAAAGATAACGAGGATCCCGTTGAGACGCAGCATCAAAAAACGTTTATCGGCAAAATTCCAATCATGTTGAGATCTAAATACTGCTTGCTCGCTGGTTTGTCTGATCGTGATCTGACTGAATTGAACGAATGTCCGCTGGATCCTGGTGGATATTTCATTATCAATGGCTCGGAAAAAGTTCTCATAGCACAAGAAAAAATGGCAACGAACACCGTTTATGTATTCAGTATGAAAGATGGTAAATATGCCTACAAAGCGGAGATCAGATCTTGTTTAGAGCACAGTTCACGACCTACCTCAACCTTGTGGATCAACATGATGGCCAAGAGCGGTGCTAGTATTAAAAAATCGGCTATAGGCCAACGTATTATCGCAATTATTCCTTACATTAAGCAGGAGATCCCTATAATGGTAGTCTTCCGTGCACTCGGATTTGTCGCCGATCGTGATATTCTTGAGCATATCATCTACGACTTTGACGATCCCGAAATGATGGAAATGGTAAAACCGTCCTTAGACGAGGCTTTCGTTATTCAGGAGCAGAATGTCGCCTTGAATTTTATTGGTTCGAGAGGCGCTAAGCCAGGTGTAACTAAGGAGAAACGGATAAAGTACGCCCGAGAGATTTTACAAAAGGAAATGCTACCGCACGTTGGCATAAGCGATTTTTGCGAAACCAAGAAGGCCTACTTCCTCGGCTACATGGTCCACAGATTACTATCAGCATCTTTAGGACGAAGAGAATTGGATGATCGTGATCATTATGGTAACAAGAGATTGGATTTAGCCGGGCCTTTACTGGCGTTCCTTTTCCGAGGTTTATTTAAAAATCTGATGAAAGAGGTACGCCTGTATGCGCAGAAATTCATAGATCGTGGGAAGGACTTCAATCTTGAGCTAGCCATCAAGACGAAAATTATCACAGATGGTTTAAGATACTCGCTTGCCACGGGTAATTGGGCGATCAGAAAAAAGCACATCAGGCGAGAGCAGGCGTGTCACAAGTATTAAACAGATTGACTTTCGCGTCGACATTGTCGCACCTGAGACGAGTAAATTCTCCTATTGGAAGGGATGGCAAACTTGCCAAGCCACGTCAGCTGCACAATACACTATGGGGTATGCTCTGTCCCGCGGAGACTCCCGAGGGTGCTGCTGTAGGATTGGTAAAAAATCTAGCTTTGATGGCGTACATAAGCGTCGGCTCGCAGCCATCTCCTATTCTGGAATTCTTGGAAGAATGGTCCATGGAAAATCTTGAGGAGATAGCACCGAGCGCAATTGCTGATGCTACGAAGATATTCGTAAATGGATGCTGGGTCGGCATTCATCGGGATCCAGATCAGTTGATGGCCACTTTGCGAAAATTGAGAAGGCAGATGGACATCATCGTGTCAGAAGTATCGATGGTCCGTGATATCAGAGATCGTGAGATAAGAATATATACGGATGCCGGTAGGATTAGTAGGCCTCTACTCATAGTGGACGGGCAAAATCTGTTGTTGAAGAAACGACACATTAATATGCTGAAGGATAGAGATTATAATAATGACGGGTAAATGCTCGATATTTCCATTTTCCATTTGTTTACTTCTACAAACGTTATGACGACCAATTTATATCTTGTTACAGATGGCAAGAGTTGGTAGGTAGTGGAGTAGTAGAATACATAGACACGTTGGAGGAAGAAACAGTTATGATAGCTATGTCACCTGATGATCTTAGACAAGATAAAGAGTATGCGTATTGTACGACATATACGCACTGCGAGATTCATCCGGCGATGATTCTAGGCGTATGTGCTTCTATCATACCATTCCCTGATCATAATCAGAGTCCTAGGAATACTTATCAGGTATCACGTACAATTTCGATCATGGTCTTCTCCTTTTTCCCCATTTTTATAGATAAATCTATTATATATTGTTATCATTTTTCAGAGCGCTATGGGCAAGCAAGCTATGGGTGTATACATTACAAATTTCCACGTGCGCATGGACACTCTGGCTCATGTGCTGTATTATCCTCACAAACCGTTGGTCACAACGAGATCAATGGAGTACCTTAGGTTCCGCGAGTTACCGGCCGGCATTAATAGCATCGTTGCAATCCTGTGTTATACGGGATACAATCAAGAGGATAGTGTTATCTTGAACGCGAGCGCTGTTGAGAGAGGCTTCTTTAGATCGGTATTTAATCGCTCCTATAAAGAGTCTGAATCGAAGAAGATCGGTGATCAGGAGGAACAGTTTGAGAAACCCTCGCGCTTAACATGTCAGGGAATGCGCAACGCTATATATGACAAATTGGACGACGACGGAATTATTGCACCCGGAATTCGAGTATCGGGCGACGATGTAATCATAGGAAAGACGATTACTCTTCCGGAAACGGACGACGAGGTAAATTAATTATTTTTTAATATACAAGTGAATAATAAAACGGATAATTCTTTATTGAAAAAAAAAAATACTAACTGTTTTACTAATGGCACTCTTTTATGTTTTAGCTGGATAGTACGACGAAACGTTTTACAAAGCGCGACGCATCGACTTTCTTGCGAAATAGCGAAACTGGTATAGTTGATCAAGTGATGCTGACGCTGAACAGCGAAGGATATAAATTTTGCAAGATCCGAGTGCGCAGTGTACGTATCCCACAAATAGGCGACAAATTCGCATCACGTCACGGACAAAAGGGAACATGCGGAATTCAGTATAGGCAAGAAGATATGCCATTTTCCTGCGAAGGTCTTACACCCGATATTATCATCAACCCCCACGCTATCCCTTCTCGTATGACTATTGGTCACTTGATTGAATGCATTCAAGGAAAAGTTTCCGCTAACAAAGGTATGATATAGTTTTCGTTTAAGTTTAAGCAAGACTGATATTTATATGAATCTAATACATTTTTAGGAGAAATTGGTGATGCTACTCCGTTTAATGATGCCGTGAACGTGCAAAAGATTTCCACGCTTTTACAAGAATACGGCTATCAACTACGAGGAAACGAAGTGATGTATAACGGACATACAGGTCGTAAGATTAACGCGCAAGTCTTTTTGGGACCAACATATTATCAACGTTTGAAGCACATGGTGGACGATAAGATTCATAGTAGAGCGAGAGGACCCGTACAAATATTAGTTAGACAACCCATGGAGGGTCGAGCGAGGTAATTATTTGTTATTATTCTTGTTGTATATAATTTTTCTCTCTGCAACTAATGATGTAAATGTACACATATATTTATTTAGGGATGGCGGACTTCGTTTCGGAGAGATGGAACGTGATTGTCAAATTTCTCATGGAGCGGCACAGTTTCTACGAGAACGTCTGTTCGAAGTATCAGATCCGTATCGAATTCATATATGTAATTTCTGTGGTTTAATTGCCATAGCAAATCTGCGGAATAACACTTTCGAATGCAAGGGATGTAAAAACAAAACGCAAATTTCGCAAATTAGGTTGCCATATGCAGCAAAGTTACTTTTCCAAGAATTAATGGCGATGAATATTGCACCTAGACTCATGATACATTAAATTCCTCATAATTTATTCCGTGTAAATAAAATTTTGTCGATTTATCATGTATATAAACATTGTATTGTTATACAATGAAACATCAAACAGCCAATAAATAGCTTTTCATAAATTTCTGATAAAATATTAAAATTAACACATATTTATTAATGATAAGATAATAACCTTTATATTAATCTTTTCATAGTATTTTTTTCGGTTTTTCTTGTGATAATAAATTACATTTATTCTATTAGTTATTAATATTATATAATATTAATATTATTAAAATTAATATATATTATATATTATATATTAAAATTATATAATATATATTATATAATTATAATTATATTATATAATATTTTATAAAAATACTTTAACTTCATAAAAATAATGATTTAAGTAAGATTAAAGCGTATATGTACAAGATTGTATTTGCTTATGAATAAAATCCTAAATTCGTTATTTTTTTCAAAAATTGTATTTAATTAAAAAAATGTATTTAATTAAAAAAAATTATGATACAGATAAGAATTTCATAAGAATAATACATATGAATATTAATTAGGAAAATTAGGATCATTAGGATCATAACGACTATTAGGATGTCTTACAAGACAGACATCTAAGACACAAAATCGTGCTCTGCAAAGAGGACAGGTGCACTTGGAGGACAACCACGTTTCTGGTGTATTCTCATCTTGCCTCGAGGCAAACCTGTTCAAATGAATATATATAATAAATAATGACAATAAAAATATTATACAATTAATATAGAAATAATGCGTAGAAATAATAAAATACAGACCACTTTGCCATACATTCTATACACCACATTGGACGGCAGTCACACATTGTACAATCATGGTTTCTAGTTTCGATACTACTGCATAATCTGTATAATTTTACATTCGAGATCGCTTGCATGCATCCGATACATTGGCTCAACTCCTATATAAAAATTAATAATTGAGGGCAAACGAGAAAAGAGAACTCAATTATTTGAATAATTTGAAATAATATCATGCTGTTTTATACCTGGGTAGTATTATAGAATGGATTTTTAGCGACTTCATCTTTGAAAGTATCAATAAATCTGTCAAGCAGCGTTCTATGGAACGTTATATTGTCCAGTACAATAATTGGTCGGGAAACTTTGTCCTGAAAATCCTTAAAATCCAACGCGTTTAATCTTATGTCAAATTCTTGTGCCATCGCACGCATGGGTTTCACCTGAAAAATGATGTAGATCATGATATTATCTTGATAATTCGTAAAAGAATAATTTATGATGTTAGTGCTATACTTGTATATTAATAAATTGAACTTGATCTCTTGTTGTCGGTGACATGAAATGTACGTCGCTTTTATTCACGACTAATGTCGCATCACTTTGATGTGCTACTTGTAATTTATAAGGTGTAATCTTAATAATCCAATTATCCGTTACTACAACACGAGTTACACTATTTGTTGCAATAACAATTTTATCTATTCTAAAACAAATCATGTTACTTTAATATAAATCCATATGTGTATATATATATATATATATATATATATATATGTATGTAATTTGTAGTATTAAAAGTTACTTAAACTAGGTATTTAATAAACCTTCGATATTCCGCGTTATATCCGCGGCGACAACTGTCCATGGTGTATTATTATTACTGTATACAGATAAATTCTGTGCTATTGGATGCGTAGTCCAATTATGGGCGGACCATTCAAAGACTTTGTTCAGCATATAAAGTGGAACGATCATGACGCAAAGAACGATTAATGGTCCAAGATAATTTCCATCAGCTAATAACAATTTTCCAGTATCTATGTGATTGAAGAAAATCAATCCTAGGATATAGCCTGAATAGAAGTAAAGAATATATCAATTAATATTTGTAAAAATGAATGCCATTGAATGTAGCTAGATAAAAAGCGTGTCTATTACCCAGAGGTAATAGAGAATGTAGAAGTAACGTGGCTATGCTCCTTCTAATATGATAATGTACGAAAAATTCATTCTCGCTACCAAGCCAGCTTGCAAAGATATCCTTGACGGTCAGTCCCGCTGAGACAAATTCTGTCGGCGGATAAACAATACATCCGGACATCAAAAGATAAAATAAGGTATAGAAAAGTAGAGCTGACATTTTTTCATTTAAACACAGAAAAAGAGAGAGACTCCCTGTTAACAGGATGAACGTGAAAACGGCAATCGACCTGGAAATAATTTCGAAAATTTCTTTAATATTCTTCCCACTATGTTCCTTGTTAAATGTAATAATAATATTAGTAATAGTAGTAATAGTGGATTCGATTCACTGCACTACCAGGTTAGTGCACATTAAACGCTACACGATATACATGAAATTATTCAAATATAAAAATATATAAATACTTCAAAACAATTATATAAATATTATCAACAATGAATTTGTCGTATTATTTAGCTGAATATGAATTAATAATTTCATTATCAAAGAAATAATATTATGTTACTACATTTAAATATTTTATATATAGCAGTTTTTAATGTGCACTAATTCCACACTTACACTCAGTGCAGTGAATCGAATTCGCTACATTCAGCGTGATTGATATTTTTTTTACAACATGCTTGTAGACTCTATGAATCAATCACAATACCCGAAGCTGGCTTGATTTTGGTTAGTACATCTCCGTCCTTGATTTGGATGATGGATATATCCGTTTAATTTTTTGGAACTCTGTATTCATCAGCGATCAGAAATTCACTGAGATTTGTAGAGATTCAAGTAGGTTAGAACATTCAAACTCTCTTCTTCTCTTTTTTTCTTTCTTCTCTCTCTCTCTCTCTCTCTCTTGATATAAGATGAAATTAGTAATATAAGCATCTTCATTATTGATGGTTAGCAATATAAAACACTGCAACAAATTCCGATTATTGATAATAAAGCTTTCTGCCATCTATTTACGTAAATTCTAATTGCTTGATTGTAATAAAAATCAAACTGATCAGAGTAAACGAATAAACTAGTATAAAAAATACTTAAGATAGCATTATATTAAACAATTTATAGTAATTATATTATTTTAATTGTTTTAAATTTAAAAAATAGTGAAATGAATCATTCAAGATCATTGGAATATAAATAGAAATAAAATAGAATTATTAGCATTTTAATTTAAAAAGCATTTTAATCTAAAATTTTAATACTTCTTTATTTAAGCAAGATTATAATTACACATATTAATAAATTACATAATTACATATATGCATAGATATATATAAATATCATAATAAATGCAGATTTTTTTTAATTAACAAATTTAAAAATCAAAACAATATGTAAATATTAAATTATTGACATATTGATTTATCAAATAATTTTGTCAATGCGTTTTATTCAATATGTCATGATGCTGAAATAAAAAATATCAAAGTGTCAAATTCTAATTGACAGTCAACATTTTTATAAATTATGTTAATTCAACAAATGATCATTCACTGTGGTTCTGCTATAAACTGTTTTAATTAATAATAATTATTATTAATATAAATAATATAAATATTTATGAAGATGGAAACGTCTTTTGAAGAGAACTTCCTTTAGACATGTATTTGTTGGCTGAGTTATTATACGATTCGCACGCATGCAGCCTACTCTCCATTGAGTGTCGAATGTTGTCGGGCCTTATAAGGATACTCGCTGCACCTACATATCTGTCCCTCTCTCGGGCTCGTTTGAGCAAACTGACAATACAAACCAGGCAATGAATCAATGCAACGTTCATCTAGTGATGGAACCAAATTGAGAAACGAATCTCTTCCAGCAATGGTGTTGTACAGCACAGTGCGCTAAAATGAAAGTCAATTATTGAAATGTAACGAGTTAGGGTATGACTTCAACAAAACTTTAACTAACTTAATCGACGACTAATTTGTATTGGATATTGAATAATATCTATGATATTTTGTTAATAAATAGACTTATTAATTTTTTGTTGATCTACATAAAGGATTAGAATTTAGCGATGACAAATTACATAATTAGAAACTTTGCAGCGAGCAATTGTGTCAGTTGAATTAATAACTGATTAAATTAGTTGGACTTTGATCGAAGTCCCTCTTAAGACAAATCAATGAACGAATCAATTCTCTTTTTATTCTTATAGTACTTTTTTAATATTGAAATTATAATGTCCTTGTTTAAAAATCTATCTCACATAATTATGATAGATGACGATTAAACAATTCTAATTGAAATTGCAGTGAAATATCGATTAACATTTATTTATCGAACACATTGAAAGTATAATTTTGTTGAAGTTCTAAAAATTTAGTCAGATACCAGATTTGAAAATAATTTTTTCGAATTCAAAATAATTCAAATTGATTGCTAAACATTTTTGAACTATTATTATCGTATTTAAATGTTTCATATATACAAATTAAATACAAACTAACAATAATTTTATTGTTGATTGATATTATAGTTTCTCACTCAGTAATATAAATCGTAATATATATCGCTGTAATATGGCATATGTTATATGTAACAATTACACTGCCTGATATCGATCTTGCCGATAATTTGCACTGTTTCAGAATTGCTGGAAAAGAATTTACCATCGACGGACGCTTAAGTAAAACGGATACGATAAAAGGACATAGTGACTATTCTAGGACGGAAGTGTATATACGTATATACGTTTAATAGCTACAGAGTTCATCGCTCTGTGGAATATATTTGCGGTGCTCTCTAAAACTGTCTCGTGTTCACAAGAGTCTAAAGCGCTTCGAACTCACGAGTCCTTTTTGTTCTTGCGTCTCTTCACTGTTAGACAGATCTAAAAAAAGTTATATTGGATTATTAAAATAATAATGAATGCTCAAACTAGTTATATGGAAAATAAACATTTTTACTGAAGTATTTATACAGAAAAAAATTAAAATAATTAATTAAAAAAATTAATTCTTAAATTAAGACAAATATTCTCATATATAATCAAAAATATTATAATCTTCTTAAAAGATTTAGATTTGAATAGATTGAATTTGTATTGATGCAAGTATTACTTTTGCTCAACTCCAGACTAAAAATCTTCTATATGAAGATTATTGAATATTTTAATATTAAGAATATTTTTGCTTATAAATGAAAATATAAAAAAAATTAGTCTTGATTTAAGACTAATTTTTTTTCTGTGTAAAAATTTGATCAGCACAAATCTGATAATAATTTTGTTTGACCATCAAAATATTTATAAAGAACGTTTCAAATTCATTGCTAAATTATCAAAAATTTTTACAGTATTATCATTATGTTTAATCTCACTTAATTATTTGATGGTCAATAAAATTATTTTCAGATCTGACCAAATTTTTAAATACTTTAATAAGCCTTCTTTCCGTGTAGAATAAAACCTTTGCGGCAATATCATCACGTTTGAACGTTCTACATCTTTTTTTTATTTCATGTAAAACCTCAGCGATATCAAAGTAAAATCATAACAGATTTCTTCAATAAAAGTCCCCATCACAGTATCGTGAACATACAACGAGGACAAATATAACAATCCTTGTAGATTTAATCAATTATTAAGACTGCAAAAAATAAAGGAAGAAGAAGAAGAGTTGAACTTTATAATACGTTCGCTCTGGCGTGATTGGGTCGATCGCAAACGCGATGGTTACGCAATCTCATAATCCTACATAGTCGAATAAGCGTGACGAGCGTCATTGACGGCGGTCTGCTCTTGGAACGGGCGTAAATCGGACCGAGGCTATAAGAGACCGGTTTCCCAGTCTCGGGCGGCACAATAAGCCAAGATCGTTCGAGGGGGCTCCATCGCCAGCTCCATTCAAACGTCCGTCGAGTATCCGCAGCAAGCAAGTTCCGCAGGAGTTCTTCGTCCTAGGAATCGTCCTTCAAGATGGTAAGAGACTTGAGATCTCTCTTGCGATCGCAATCATCTATTTGCTCCCTTTAGAACGGCCTTGGTCGATCACAAACTCACCGTGGTAGACGAGTGCGACGATATTCTGTTTATTACGCAGTGAAAGTGCGTATATATGTGGGATGGCAAATATGAGAGTCGAATCTGGGTCTTTTGCTTATCAAGCGACTGCTCCAGCGTCGAGATATTTAGCATTTTCTTATCTCAAAACATATAATTATGTGTTCTCCAGTTAGAAAAAAGCGTGATCCATTAACCCAAATTATTTCATACAAATAAAGATGAAATATCTCGTTCTCAATTTCTTTTGATTCAATATGAAACGAAGAACTTTATTATCTGCAATTCATGGAAATCATAAAAGTTCAATTTGATTAATAATCGCTGATTTAGAGATATTTGGAATATTTAATTTTTAAAGATACCTGAATTAATGAATGTTGCGAATCATCTAAAGACGAATCTTCTCGACTGGCACCAATGATTACTGGGAGCGACAGTTGCATTACGTTGTCGCTACTTTTAGAAAGAAAAATCCGCACGACGCGACGCAATAAGTCTCGCTGCAGTGAATGGTCGCCTTTCGTTAGCAGCAACGAGATTTTCCCGAACTTTTTAGAATTAATAGACATATTCTTATATTCGATCTTGTACTGCTAATTCTGGAGTATTCTGGAGTACAGAGCACATTTATTATAATCAGCATTCTAAATATGTATTAATTATTCGATAAAACGCCTCCTTTCTTATGAATTATTTATAATTCATATTAGAATTCAAGAAAAAATTCTATTTATAATTTTCTATTTATAATTTTATATATTTCACTTCATGTTTTATTATCTTATTCATAAATTAATTTACAAGCGTGATTTAGAGTTAACTTAATCCACAATAAAATATTTTCATTTTTCTTCATCCGTCATTATTATCTTGACAAGATCTCCATTTCCATACGTTCTTTTCTAAAGTGTTTTCCATTCTCTTTCAAGATTATATCCATTTTATACAAGTATATATACAAGTATATATTCTAATTTTTCAAATATTTTTATCACAGAGCATATGAAATTATAATTATTAATATAATATAATTATAAATAGAATTTTGAGTTATTTAAATTATAAAACTAGTTAAATTATAAATCTAGTTATAGATACGAAATTCTAAAATCAGTTTTAGCAAAAAGGCAAATCAGTATGTTATCAAACTACAGCTTGCAACTTGTATTTTTTCAGCGTGAATGCATATCCGTCCACGTAGGACAGGCGGGAGTACAGATCGGAAATGCCTGTTGGGAGTTGTATTGTTTGGAGCACGGTATCCAGCCTGATGGGCAAATGCCATCAGATAAGATACTCGGAGGTGGCGATGACAGTTTCAATACCTTCTTCAGCGAGACCGGCGCCGGAAAGCATGTACCTAGAGCGGTCTTCGTCGATCTCGAACCTACCGTAGTGGGTAAGTAGAAAAGAACAACGATCTTATTAAAGTAATCTAAAAATTTGGTCAAACACAGATCTGAAAATAATTAATTTTGTGTAGCCACCAAAATAATTGTCCAGGTTGAAACGTTATGATTTTATCTCATTTTTTGCAAAAATTATTTATATTCTAGTAACCATTTTAAATATCCTATATAAATATTCTAATGACCAAACAAAATTATTTTAACATCTGCATACGATCAAATTTTTAAATACTTCAGCAGAATTGTTCTTTCCATGTAATATTTTATAAATATTACATCCCTTGTTAAGTTGCAATTAATGTTCCTCTTCCAGATAATCTGATTCGCCTGTGTTCTTTCAGATGAGGTGCGTACAGGTACATATCGGCAACTGTTTCATCCGGAGCAACTGATAACAGGCAAAGAGGATGCAGCCAACAATTATGCGCGCGGTCATTATACAATCGGCAAGGAGATAGTGGATCTCGTTTTGGATCGCATTCGCAAACTGGCGGATCAATGCACAGGTCTCCAGGGCTTCCTAATCTTCCATTCATTCGGCGGCGGTACCGGCTCCGGTTTCACGTCTCTGCTGATGGAACGACTGTCGGTGGACTATGGAAAGAAATCGAAACTCGAGTTCGCAATTTATCCGGCGCCTCAGGTCTCGACAGCTGTTGTCGAACCGTACAATTCGATCCTCACAACGCACACCACCCTCGAGCACTCCGACTGCGCGTTTATGGTAGATAACGAGGCCATATATGACATTTGTAGACGTAATTTGGACATCGAACGGCCGACGTACACCAACTTAAATCGCCTGATCGGTCAGATCGTTTCCTCGATCACGGCCTCGCTGCGCTTCGACGGCGCGCTCAACGTCGATCTGACGGAATTCCAAACGAATCTGGTGCCCTATCCCAGGATCCACTTCCCTCTGGTCACCTACGCTCCCGTCATATCCGCGGAAAAAGCCTACCACGAACAGCTCTCCGTCGCCGAGATAACGAACGCCTGCTTCGAGCCCGCGAATCAGATGGTCAAGTGCGACCCTCGTCACGGCAAGTACATGGCCTGCTGCATGCTCTACAGAGGCGACGTGGTGCCGAAGGATGTAAACGCGGCGATCGCGACCATCAAGACCAAGCGCAGCATCCAATTCGTCGATTGGTGCCCCACGGGGTTCAAGGTCGGCATCAATTATCAGCCGCCCACCGTCGTTCCCGGCGGCGATCTCGCCAAGGTGCAGCGTGCCGTCTGCATGCTGTCCAACACTACGGCGATCGCCGAAGCCTGGGCGCGGCTCGATCACAAATTCGATCTGATGTACGCGAAGAGAGCCTTCGTGCACTGGTACGTCGGCGAGGGGATGGAGGAGGGTGAGTTCTCTGAGGCGCGGGAGGATCTCGCCGCCTTGGAGAAGGACTACGAGGAAGTCGGCATGGATTCCACTGATGGCGAAGGAGATGCTGCGGAAGAATATTAAAGATTATCGATCGCAAGATTCCTACTCTCCTCGTATTTCGTACATTTTTATTATGATGCTTGCCATTATTACTCCAATCACTTACTGCGAATTTCCTTTCTAATTTTGTAACACGATCCGAGATGATTTATCGCGGTATTAATCTTCATCCGTTCCTTCCACTCCAATCCCAATCTGAGATTCTCCTCGTGAGAAAAAAAGCGGACCTTTTCACTTCCTTATAATAATCTCGGTGTTGCTCGAAGAAATAACCACTGAGAAATATAAGCACGTCTAAAAATACTTTCTCGTGTATTTTGTTGTAATATTATTTATATATTATATCAACCATTATACAATAATAGATTGCATTAATATACGTCTTCGATCATACAATTATTATCGATCATTACATGATACGTGAATACAAGTGAAGGATGAAGAGGAAAAGGAGGCGAGAGAAGAAAGTATAATATGAGCGAATCTCTTTCTGCACAAATGTGTCAGATCAATGAGAAACACGTGCGATCTCACGAATGAATTCGATTTTGAAGAAGAAAGGACGAGCGTGATGATCGCGCGTGAATTTGATTGCGTCACGAACCCGCAATTTGTTGCACTTTAGATACAATGGCGACGATGGTAATTGTGTGTTGATCTTAATAATAAAATTATAATATAGTAATAATATTAATATTATATATTCTCATAATAAACTAAATAATAATAATGATAATCATCACGGTCATCAATATCGATCTCACGATCGATAAAAAGAAAACAGCGCAAAATAAAATATTATCATGAAAAGTTCCATCTGGCGCACGCATCGATGAAAACAAAAGACTCTGCAAGCCAATGTGCATGTGCGCTTTATTTCGTTCTCATTATTATCTATTCGTCCAGTCCTCCCAGCCACTTCGAGCATGAATGATTCATAATGCTCAAACTGTTAGAACAGTACTATATATCTTCTTTTACATATACTCGGATCTGCGTATAACACAGCTCGGTGTTGTACGTAGCATACATACAGTTATACATATGTTATATATAGATAGAGCTCAACGCCGACTTTTTATTTGTACAAAACACACGTTGTATAGCGGTCGACCGTCAATTACGGATAAAGAATGTAATCATTAGTGCTCGAATCACCAGCTTGAACAACACTCCTCGACAACCTCAACAAGGCAAAGTTAAAATTACGGGGATGAAAAATGTGAGAGTTCCGTATCTGAATTTCCTTAATTAAGATTATAGAACGTGTGCGAGCGTGTTCCGAAAATAACACACGTTCCTGGATAAAAAATATTATTCCTACTTACTCGGCCCAATCAAGTTCGACTTGTTGAAGTTACTGCAGAAAACTGTTATTCAATTGCAAACGACACGCGATGACCAAGAGCAAATCGCGTTCACTCAATTATAATAAATCAGTAAATATCAAAATTGCGAGTGCTAAGATTTGTAAGAATGCTAAGATTTAATCAATTGACGAAGATACGAAAGGCACGTTTCGTATATGATAATCAATCCAAAAAGAAAAAAATAAAATCATTACGCTTAAAATCGTTCTGCGCTTCTGCATATATATATACAACGAATATTCGTCATAATTTAAATTTCGATTTGAGACGTTTAAATTATCTTATTACGTCAAATACAGATAAAATTGAAAATTTTATAAGCACACATTGCCGTAATTCCACTGGTACTTCCGATTCTACTTCATATTTTATATCCTTTTTAATCGACATACTTAAGCCTATCGGTCGGTTCGAATTTGGTAACAATATAAGCTGATGAATGTCGCCGTCAGGCATGACTTACTGTTAGCATTACGCTATTTTTATTGAGTTGATATAATTTATAAAGTATTATATCGATGTAAGCGCCAATCGCGATAGACAGTTGTAATAAAGTTCTCAACTCGGTAACAATCGTAATCGATCGGGATATCATACGGCACAAATTACTTTATACATATCACGAAGACGAGTACACCAGTCTGGTAGTCAGAGGCGATTTCTATTGTCCATGATGCTCTTGGTATAGAGGACAATCGTGAGATCCGTATTCTCGCAACGCAATTCTTTCGCACGCCAGCTTCGAATTCTATAGAAACACAGCCTTTCGCATTCACTTCTACTGTTTTCTTTTTCTTCGCGATAAAGCTGATTCAGGTATCGCCCAGTGGAATCCAATCGAATCCATTCGAAATATAATACGTATCCGATCAATATTCGCGTATATAAAGTTTACACCCCGCGAACAATTGCATACCATCATCCCTACGTTTAAAGGGAGAACCACATGCGAAATTTTTCCTCTAATCTAAAAATTATCAGTTACAATCAAAGAATCGAGATAATCTTGAGATAGAGGAAAAAATAGGATAGAAGCAAATAGCAACGATGACCATAATAGCAACAACGTCGACAACGATGACGAGAGTGACTATGATAATGGCGATGGCGGCAATAATAACGATAACGATAACGATAACGATGACGATAATGATGATGATGATGATGATGATGATGATGATGATGATGATGATGATGATGATGATGATGATGATGATGATGATGATGATGATGATGATGATGATGATGATGATGATGATGATGATGATGATGATGATGATGATGATAATGTTAATAACGACGAAGACGACGACGGCGGCAGCGATGACGATGATGACATTGACGTCGATATCGTTGACGACGACGACGACGACGACGACGACGACGACGGGCAAAAGAGAACGACGAGAATTACGATGGCAACGGCAACGGCATTGAGATATTGGCGAATAAAATAATAAAGACGGCAATAATGATGACGCCTCTCAGTCCCTCTCATTTTCTATCGGTCTGTTTTTCTTTTTTCTTTCTTCGTCGCAAAGTATGCATATGTAACTCTTTATTGCGTTACACACAAACGGGATAGGAGAGGCAAAATTAAATAGCGGATTAAATACATTAGCGCGACGCTTAACAAATTAAAAACGTAAAAACATTAACAGTACAATATAGTTTCCTTATCGTAGACGTAATGCGATGGCAGTCTTGAGTCCTGGAAAGATGCTGTGATTGTTGCTCGTTCGCTTCGATTTCTCTTATTTCCCGCGCACCTCCATCCACCCTCGTTTCATCTTCCACTCATCTTCGTCTATGTTTCGTTACTCGTCGAATCTCGTCCTTTATTTTAAACCGAGCTTGCTTCGATCTTGAATTTAAACTTGCATGTTCGTTTTTTTTTTTATTTACGAGAAGCTTTTGCTTGTGGCAGTGTCTGGAAATACAGATGATAACTCAACATCAGTAACATTTCGACATGTCTCGCTACAAACGACATAACATATACGACATTACATATATATTTGCGCGAATGTAATTCTACTAGAAAACATGATTTGATCTTCGCTGCATTCATATGAGTGAAATTTAGCGCGAGCGCGTCTAATCTCTAACGGAAAAGCTTTGGCTTTTCTTCCATACCTTCAATGAGCAACGCCCAGGATCAAGAAATCAAACTACGAGAAAAACGACTAAAACGATCGAGCGAGTAATTTACTAAAAACTTTATTTTCTTTTATTATTTATCGAAGAGCAGCAGTAGTTTACAAAACTACAATTAATATTAATAAAGAAGAGAAATAGCGACTCGCTCGGTCGTAAGACAATCCATAAGTCAAAAATTGTAAGAAACGTTCTAGCATAAGCATATTAACGTTCATAAGAAAGAGATAACAATGTTCAACAGATTCTTAAAATTATTCGTTCACGAATGTGCGTAGGTTCTCATACTCTTTATGTCGATATTAAAATCCAGAGATAGATAAATTAATCCGATAACACTTACCTGAGCTACGACTACCTACGCCTCGACCGACTTCTTCTTTTCCTTCTTCTTTTTAAGGAAAGATGGCGTCCTAAGGCCCTTCTTCTTCTTCTTTTCCTTCTTTGGCGATTCCTCGCTAACGCTCACATCCTGCGACATGGAACCCTTAACACGGAAGGTCCCAACCGTAACCATAAACCTTTCTGCATGCACATGCATAGAGCGCCGAACTTTCTCGCTTAATTGTTCTATTAGCCAATTATCTGGTCGCATGCAAACCGGTACAATAGAAGAGTTTGTAGAAAGCAAATCTATGAACGGCTATATTTGAGCAATGTGGCTGTGTCGTGAAAATCGATGCAGTAAAGCAATAATTCGCTCGAATGAGATACGTTATGTCTTTTATGACGATTCTTATCGTTGTAGATCTAGAAATGTCTTATCCCATATTTTATTATGAAAACAGCGCTCCCAGATGTTAAATATGCATGAGAAATGTGATACAGTATGGTAGTATGGTAGTGAAAGCAATCCGATATATGCGGAGATTTAAACGAGTTTTTAAATTGATAAAAATTCAAACGATTTCTTCTTTAAAGGGACGAACTTATTCTTTGCTCTTTCTTTGCTCTTAAGCTACGATTCGAAGTGTATGTAAAAAGATTGTTTATTCGTATGTAGCAGAGATAGCTACGTGTCTAGCTCTATTATCATTCCAGAATTTTAAAAGGATATTTACACGTAGCAATTTTTGATTATACGTCAAGACTTTAGAGAGCGAATCTAGAATCAAAAATATAAAAGAATGAATTTAAGATTTTAAAAAGTGTACATATAATTAATATTATTTCTTGAAAAAGAAATAAGTTACAGATGACAAATACTTTAAATATTTACTTTCATTTGTTATAATTCCGAAAATAAACAATTAACATTCATATAACATTTTTTTTTAGACTCTAGATTCACTTGAGTATTAATATATAACCAAGAATCACTCGGAATATATAATGAGACTCGTGAGAAATTAATGCATTATAGACCGATTCTCCGCATATGATATATGATATAGCGGTGATTTTGATATTAAAAGTATTGCGACAAACCTCCTTGCTACTTTGCGAAAAAGTACTGTGATGAGCGTCCGAGTGATCACCATTTACAGTATTCTCTCCTAAAACATAAATAATAAATTGTTCAGAACGTGAATCTTTAGATTATTACAATAGGATAATCGAATCCAATGATAATAAGAAAGCCGTATCGTTCTAAGACAATCTAAGCCAAAGGATTAAAATTAATCCTATTAAGTCTATATATATATATAGATAGTATTATGTATCATCATACTTCTATTGTAAGAAAAGCGAGAGAAAAAGACAGAGACCTTACCTTTTGCGAAGCGATGTTGGTTTATACTTGCAAGAGTGTACTCGCTCGTGAATTCGTTATGTAAAATCAAACATTCCAAAGCAAACACGTTTTAGCATCGACCATTTGTAGCTTGCAGGATGCGTGTGACATCATTGAAAGAATAGCGAGATA